TGGGCAGGAACAAAGGTAAAAAAAAAAAAAAAAAGAATGAGCCAAGCAAGGGGGACTTACAAATACACGGGGAAACCAAAAAAGAGCAAAATAAAGTGGAAAAATGAAGAGAAAAAATAAGAAAAAAAAGGAAAAAAAATAAAAGGTCAAGTGGCAAAATGAAGGGATACAGTCCGGGGACAAAATAAACGTCGTAAGGAGAAAGGCTACTTCCACGTCTGACGGGAACGGCTGCCCCCCCCCCCGTGTGACGTGCCAACAGGTCACTTCAAGCACATCTCGACGTGCCGATCTTCCACACAAAGGAGTTAAAAAAGAAAAAAAGAAAGCGCTTATCAGTAACTACTAAAGAAAAAGCGGAGAAAAGGATCCCCCACTACCCGTCAGCCAAGAACACACGTTCTCCTACGTTACAGTGCAGACAATGCGAAGCTTCTTCTGGGACAGACTTGCACGACGGGTCACTCGCCATGTACACACATATGAACACTTCGGGGGGTGGTGCACCTGACGAGCGTGTAACGCATGGCAGAAGAATCCATTTATAATTTGTCTCCTGGAAAGATCCTACAAAGGACATCAAAAGGGGGTTCTTCCCCATCAGGAGTAACGTTGAGGGGTAAGCTTGAGGCGTAACCTTCAGGGGTAACCTTGAAGCGTAACCATCAGGGGTAACCTTGAAGCGTAACATTGGACAATTCAGTTGTCTGGGTCGATGATCAGAATGACGGTTGGTTCATCCTCGCGGGGCCCCTTAAAACGAATTACCCCCCTTCACGTAAGCGGTGTTCTTCGTCCTCACGGTGGGCTGAGAGAAAAGTCAAATCAGGTCCAGGTACTCATCCTGCAACTCCATGAAGCGTTCGAATTCGTCCTGAGTCATATCTTGCTGCAGTTTCTGGGCATCTAAAGGGAGGGAAAAAAAATAAAAAAAAATAAATAAAAAATAAATAAAAAATAAAAAAAAATAAATAAAAAATAAACAAAATGATAACATAGTATAAAATAAAACAAATGACATCGTACTATAAAATGAGACAAAACAAGGGTCTCCCCAACGCTGCCACTCCGGCTCAGTAAACGGGACAGCTCCGACGCGACAAAACCCCAATCATCACTACTTCCACCTCTCGAGAGGACGAAACAGACAGACACTCCAACAACAAATGCACATACCAATGAGCGAAAATTTCTTATTGAATTTTTCTATAAAGAACAGGGGCATTTCCGGCTCATCGGTCTTCTGGGGACCCTTCAGCACGACCATCTCGCTGGCACTTTGTTGCACTTGGGCCAGGTCACCACTCTTATGTTTTGTCCTTCCAGTGATGTGGCCCTCCCGTTCACTATTATCTTCCGCTTCGTCCTTCCCAGGGCTAGTGGTCCTTCCTCCAGTGGACGGGGCTACCACTTGATTCGTTCCTGCTTTCCCCTTTACATTCATACAGATTTTTATTTTTTTGTCTGACCGGATAACGCTACTGCAGGTGTCCGTGAGTGTTTCTTCGTTCTTTGCTCTCTTTTGTTGGGACGCCTCTCCGGGGGTGTCTGCGAGGTGGGGGTGCACGCGAAGTAGGGTGAATGCTAATAAGATTGCATACGGGGGAAACAAATGCAGCCACGGTATGGCACTGTCCCGCACGCACAGGGACTCGCGGATTGATTCGATGACTGGCTCGATGACTGGCTCGATGACTGGCTGGCCGAGGCGAAGGACCCTACTTTGAGACACCTGGGAGGAGTTATTCGTAAGAGACAACTCAGAAGAGTTATTCGTCATGGATTCGTCTGACGAGTTGTCCCTATCGAGACATTGAAGAGAGTTAGGCACCACCCTGCTAAACTTCTCCGTGTACAGGGGAATGAAGTAGTTCTTTAGCTTCTCCGTGTGCTCCTTTAAGATGTTTAGATACTTGGTGTACCGACTGTAGATTCGATCGTTTCTGCTTTCGTCCCTCTCCTGCGATGAGGAGCGATGTGAAAAGCGGTGTGGTGTGATGAGATGCGGCGTGGTATGATGAGATGCGGCGTGGTATGATGAGATGCGGCGTGGTATGATGAGATTCGGCGTGGTATGATGAGATGCGGCGTGGTGTGATGAGATGCGGCGTGGTATGATGAGATGCGGCGTGGTATGATGAGATGCGGCGTGGTATGATGAGATGCGGCGTGGTATGGTGTGCTCTGTGCTGTGCTCTGCTTAGCCCTTCGAACGCTCTCCCGCTCCGCACTTACGATGAGCTCAATCTTATTATTGCAGAAACAGAGGAAGTGGGCGTCGTAGGAGTCCAGCGGGAGCAGCTGAGCATCCAGCTGCGAGTAAGTCGCGTTACAGAAATTGCAGACATACAGATCGCTGTCATTTCGATCCTTCCTCAGCTGAACCTCCATCTTCCTAACTCGATAATCGATTACATAAACGATGTAGTTATTGAGGCAATAATACAATTGGAAGGAAGAGCCCTTCTCCGTAGTTTTAAGTTTCTGCACTTGGATGATGAATTTCTCCTTCAGCAGTTTGGAGAGAATGCTTCGTATCTTCTGCTCGTTCATGTTGATGCTATTAATTATGTCTTTCTCCAGGTAGAGGCATTCATTGTGGACAAACAAATCAAAGATGACGATCTCCTCATCGTTTAGAAAAAACCTGCTCACATATATCATCAGGTGAAGAAAGAACCTCTTCTCCTTGTCGTAAAAGATTTCCTTGGACTTCTCCATCTTGCGTTTCCTCACTCAATGTAGCGTTTCGGGGTAGAGAAGCGGACTAAGCTGAGTGGGTCTTACCCTGACTGCAGCCTATCGTTACCTCTGCTGACTAGTATGTGGGATGACTACATGTTGTGATAGTGCTGTGTTCATGTGGGCCACTCGGTCACCGTTTCGGCGTAAATCAGCACATGTTTGCCTCTTCCCCCTCTGCAGTGTCGTTTTTCGCCGCCCACCTGAAATGGGGCCACTCTCTTCCAAGCGGTGAAAATGTTGTCGTAAAAAAGTCGCTGCTGGAGGATGCGGGAGGGGGTGATCGGCATGCCTTCACTTCGCCAAGGGGGTCCCAAAATGGAAGAAAAAAAAATATGAGGCGAAAGAGGTAGGTAATTAGGAACGCAGCAAAGGTGGCGCGTTGCTTCGTTGCTTCGCCCATTCACTCCCTCTCCGATTATCCACTTCTCCGCTACTCCACTTGGTTTTCTTTTTTCTTCCCAATTGGCTCAATTTTTTTTTTTCCGAAGTCGCCCCTTCCATGCAGCGTGTTGTAGGAGGAAACGTTCGGGGAATCTGCGTGTGGTGGAATTTTTTTTTTTTTTTTTTTCTTTCCCCTACATGTGCTTGTTCCGTTATATGTATGGAGGCGAAGGTGGCAGAAGAGGGCCCTTGGAAAAGTTCCCTAGTTGGTCCCTTCTCCTTTGCATTTCTCGTTCACCTTTCTTGGCTTTTTCCCCGCCCGTCCTTTCCCCCTTTGTAAGCCTTTTTTTCTTCTTCTTCTTCTTCTTTCTTTCCCTGCAACGATGGACCGTCCGTGGTACGCTACCACCCCCAGTGGGAAAAAAACAATATGGACCCCCCCGGTTATGGTTCCACGTGGGGTTTATTTCCCCCCTGCATGCACATTAGTTACTCTGCGAGGGAGCGGGTCGTCCCTTTTTTGCACGTGCCACCTCCGCTTGGAAAATTGCCCCTAACCTCCCCTCGCCGCACATTTTTTAAGGCGCAATTTTTTAGTCCACCCCTGCTCCCGCGCTGATGCCCATTCGTTTGTTCTGTTTCGTTTGGTGAGCAGTTTGGTTAGCACTTTGTTTATTTGTTTATTTATTTTTTTTTATTTTTATTTTGCTTTTTTTGTCGTTCTCCACCGGTTAATCCCCCTGGGAGAAGAACTTACTGCGCGCACCTTCGTGGCGAAGAGGGCTGAGCGGGACGCCGCCTCGCCAACCGTCCGACCTGCTAAGCAGCGCTACCGGTTACTCCCCTATACGACTACACCGCTATACCGCCGCTTCCCCGCTTCACACCAAAATGAAACAAGGGTGCGAAGACCGGAGGGGGGACAAAGAACGGGAGGTGATCCTGCTAGGAATTCTCAACATAGAAAATGTGTACGGCAAGGATTGGATTAAAAAAAAAAAAGAAGTGAAGAGAGACCTGCAAAACAAGGCGGTCAAGTTAAATCAGGCCTTTAAGAATCCTGCCATCTTTCACGAGCGCTTTGAGTTCCTATCCGTAGACCATTACAGTTGTGTCAAAAATAACTACATTTACAGCGCCATCGTTATTTTTAACCCCAACTTGGGGGGGATTTCCTCGGGGGGGGATGAGGCACTGTCGGAGGGGGGCGATGTCAGGGACGTTGCACCCCCTGGGCAGGCAAAAGTGAAGAACACCTGTGTGGTGAGCAGTGGACAACACGTGGCGGGCGCCGGACAGGGGGGAGCATCCTCTCAAGGGGGATTGGCTTCCACCGGTGGAACGTCATCACTCGGTGGTGGAACTACCCCCCCGGGTGACCCCCTCGTGACCAGGCCTCCAGAAAAGAAGGAAGGTCTTGGCGTCCTAGTCGTCACGTGCAAAAAAACGGACAGTGAAAAAATGAAGCATATTCTAATCAAGATGTTGAAGAAGGAAGTAAAAGTGGAGTGCACCGTCCTTAAATGCAAAGGGGGGCAGTTCTCCAGCCTCTCCCACGTTCGTCGTGAGGACGCAGAAGTCAAGGAGAAGCACACTGAAATTAGGCACTTGGACCGCCCCGCCGCCTCCCTGGATGTGGCTCAGTCGCGCGTACACTCCAGAGCACTGTCTACAGCGGCGTCTTCAGCGGCGTCTGCAGCGGAGTCCCCTGTGCTCCCCCCGTCGGACGCGGCGAACAAGCTATTCAACGTGTCTCGGAATAATTTCTTTAACATGACTGCCTACATATATGGTAATAACGCGGGGGGGTTCTCCCATGCACACGCCGATCCATACGGACAGACGTGGTTACGCTTGCCCCCCGCAACCCTTGTGCCCCCGCCGCCTACCCTCATACGACCTACTTGCCTCTCCCCTTAGGATCGTCCCATCTGTTGGCCAACACTAGCTTGATTACACGCGAGTATGGGGACGATGAGTGGGCTGAGCGCCTCCGGCGGACGAAGAAAGGGAAGGAGCATGAACGCGGGGGAGCTCCAGGTGCCCAGGACATCTCCGCGCCGCGGGAAAGTGGTCTCATCAAGACCTTCACGTCGTTGTTTAAGAAGTGAAGCAAGTTACACGGGGGGGATGACGAACATAAAAAAAAAAAGAAAAAAGAAGAAAATCACCCTGTACACCCCAGAGAGAGGTCGAAATGTGTATTCAAGCAGGGATAGAACACAGAAAGGGACACATTAACAGACATGGAGGCAGTGTGGACGCGCGAGGCGAATCGGCCCGGCGTCTCTCCCCTGTCTTCATTGTCTCAAGGCCTTCTTAACGTCGAAGTGCTTCGATAGTTCCTGCAGTTCGGGGGGAAAGAAGTGGGAGGGAAGGGGGAAGAAAGATGGGAAAGGTGATATGTAAATGTACGTCCGTTGCAGCGGTGGAGAAGCGGTTCAGAAGCGGTTGAAAGGCCTCTTCGACGAAGCTCAGTCAACCGCCTCTCCACCGCTCTGACTTGGACACTGCTTGCCTCACCTCGGCATCGTTAAGGTACACGATGTTGTCGTAAATGCTGGCCGGGATGAACGGGTAAAGGACGCAGATGAAGATCTTAAACGCGAGGGAGTAATTGAAGAAGTAGATGACCTTCAGATTATGCAAGAAGTCCTTAACGATCTGGAAAAGATCCTTGAAAAGAGACAACACGTTTGTGATCTGTGTGGATATACCTTCAGACCAAATAAAAAGCAGCACAAAGTGGTTTCGCATGAAACAGTTGAAGTGAAACAATAGGAACAGAAACAACAAATGGTAGTTATACGTTTGAGGAAACTTAAAAAAATTCACGATCAGTGTCTTCCTTCCAAGCGGGTCAATTCCATATTCATAAATAAACGGATCCACTTCAAATTCACGATATTTATTTTTTATGTTATACATCGAACTGAGACGGAGAGACGACTCGAGGTTTGCCATCATATTGTCTTCCCTTTTGTTGATCTCCTTTAATTTGTATAGATTTTTGTGCCCCTCGCTTTCCGTTTTTAGGGTTAAAAACTCCGTGTCTGTTTCGTTGAAAATGTCCGATGAGGTGAAGCAGCGGGACGACGCAGCGGAGGATGCTGAGCAGGCTGAGGATAATGACGATGCTGACGAGGGTCCCCATTGGGCATAGGCAGATGGCCGGGGGGCAGGTGTATCCCTATCAGGGGAACCCCCCTCCGTATTGACTATCTTCCCCCTTTTCCGTCCTCTGCGGTGCACGCGCCCTCCTCGGGTGACCCGCCGGAGCGTCCTGAAAATGCGGATGCCTCTGTTCCGTACATCGATGGAGCCGTACTTGTTTCCCAAAATGGCGATATTGGCGGAGAGGAACATTTCCTCACGACATCGAGGGAAAAATATCGACGCGTACTTCAAACTCAGGAGGTACAAGTCATTCGAATTGGTAACGAAGACAATTGACCTGATGGCGTTATAGAACTCAGGAACAAGAAGTAGCGACCGCAGACTCTTCAGGAAACTTACTAAAAATATATTGATGGGAAAGAAAACGCTAAAGCAAACTATGGGGATAGAAATCGACTGAATCTTTTTATCGACACACACGCATAGAATCTCTTGTACACATAGGTTCATCGTATTATTAGTTGCTAAGATATATTTGCTATTATACTTTGGTAGCATAACATGGAGGACATATTTGTGAATTCCATCGTAACTGTTTGTTAGGTATGCTTCTCCACTTTTCTTCGATTTTATTTCCATCTTGTCTTCCTCGTCCAATTTCATGAGGGTGGATGAGTACAAATGATCGCAGACCGTTTTGGTGAATCGATAGTTATGATTCGCAAAGAGGACTATCGCATCCGTGTCGACTAGAGATATTTCCCCGTTGAGAAATGTTATCTTGCTATTCATTTCTGGGTGCACCATATAGGTCTTATGTTTCAGGGAGAAGGCATAGGTTTGGTTCAGCTCCTCTCGCGTCAGAGTCGCGGGGGGAGAGCCGCCGCGACCATTCGTGCTGCGATCATTTGGCTCGCCTCCATTTGGATTGCCCCCATTTGTACCGCCCCTCCGGCCAAAGTTAAACAGCGCGTCCTCCTCCCGCTCCAGCCACCGCTGCACATTTGGCACCTTCGTGAACACCTCGCTCAGGGCCGCATAGTCCTCCTTCGTCACGACAAAATTATTCTTGTACGCATGGTCATCGCTGTAGGCGTAGGTTATTTCGGCGCGATTGCCTCGGCGCCGGTGGGAAGGGGGGCGGTCCTCCGGTTTGAAGTTTCCCTCTTTGAAGTCGCCCCCTTTGAAGTCCTCCCGTTTGAAGTCTTCCTCCTTGAAGTCCTTGTGTTGGAAGTCCCCCTTTTTCGAGTCCCCCCCCTTGGAGGCCCCTCTCCCCGGAACCTTATCGCACGACCCACCCGAAATGCAAAACAGGAGGAAGTTAAAATACGCAGCGTCAATAGGACTAATCAGCGGATGGAAAGCCAAACTGCGAGAAAACCTCTTCTTTACATAGAGATCATCTGCATCGAAATTGAAGCAAAACTCTTCCTCATCAATAAGTAGCGTCTCGCTTATTTTCTTATAAATGTGTACATAATGGAAGAGAGAGTAATTCAGATCACTCCATGGTACAAGTTCCTCATGCTTAATGCGTTCCTTTGTCTTGTTGCTTCCCTCGGGCTGATCATCCGTACAACACAGGAGGGAATCCTCTTCCCCGTTTATACTCCTAAACGTGTTGTTAATCTTCGTACAGAGGTCACTCACGTTAAGTTCACTTTTTTCCACCTCCAGATCGATTAACAGTTCGTCGAACTCTTCCTTTAGCCAGCAGAAGGCCTCGTTCAGTTTATCCCCGACGGACATGGTGGCCCGCGCTGCGCTGCAACACGCGTAAGGGACTGTCGCGATGGCTGGGCCAGGAACTCGACCCACAGTTAGGACGTGGATCCAACGTCACTTCGCCCATGTAGTATTAGTATGCGGATCCAACGTCACTTTGCTAACTCCTGTGGGCCGTTCCCCCCCCTCAGGTGATCCGAAAGCGGCATGTAATAAGCAGACGCCTTTACAACAAGAAACAGTTAAAAAAAAGAGAAAAAAATAGCCAATCTGTACGTAGATCGCACGTAGGTACCCATCTAATCCATCTTTGATTTATATCCCACACGGTGGAAAAGCTTTCTTAAAAAAATTCACGCGAAAAATGGCGAACTCTTTTTGATTGTCCCCCCGAGTGGGCAAAATGTTCGCCTGGGTAAACGGGGAAAAAAAAAAAAAAAAAAAAAAAAAAAAATACTTGTTAGAAGAAATCGCTGGGATGACAAAACAGTGGCGTAAAAATAAAGAAAAAGCGACGTTTACACCCGATGACACGCTGTTTACGCAGCCATCGTGGGGACATGCATTTCTACACGCGCAGCATTTTTTTTTTCCTATTTTTTCTTATTTTTTTCTTTTTCCCAGGGGGCACATATATCCCGCAAGTGGACGTTGCAATCATTTGGGAACGCTGGAGACTTTCCTGTTGGACCGCGCACAGGGTCAGCTTCTCTTCCCCTGGACTGTGTGCCTCGAGCAAAGAAAATTTCGCGCATGTGGAGCCGCTTCAGCTTAATGTCCCCGGGATTTTCTTGCTTGAGTGAAAGGACGATACATACGTGTGCATGATTCGGTTTCCGATCTGTGTGACGGGGTGAACACGAAATGGGGTCGTTACATACATCGGGACATCATCCTCATCTGCATCGGGCATGAACTACTTTCTCAAAAAGGATGGTCTCAGTTCGCATGAGCAATCATGTTAGGAGGTGTCCCCCTCTGCACAATCTCACGAGAGCAGATTACCGATTGGTGAACCACTTCCATATTTTGGAGACTCAGGTCGGCGTAGAGAAAGGGGACCTACCAAAAGGGAAGCGACGGAGGAGGGGGAAAAAAAAAGACGGGCATTTCTTCCACCTAGCAGCGCATAAGGTATAGGCATTTACATACGCGCTCATCTTCATGACGAAGTGGTCTTTATCGCATCTACAATTTCACTGCACACTCTCTCTGCCTTACGAAGGAAAGGAACAACAGGAGGGAGAGCAGATGGGAGTCAATCAGACTCAAGTTCTAGGTGGAAAAGGGGGGGAAAAAAAGGAGAGGAGGTGCCGCATATAAATGTGTATACGTCTGTGCATACGTCTGTGCATACGTCTGTGTAGGTGTCTATCCTGGGGTAGGCCCACTGGGGTTCACTTCCACGCCCCTTCCTATGCACCAGAGAGATCAACCCAATGCAGAGGCCACCGTGCAGCACCCCCGCGGAACGCTTACCTTCAGTAGGAGTGAAGCAAATGCTGACGCGCAAGTGTAAATGAGCATCTGCACGTAGTCCCCTTCTCCCTCTCGATAAAACAGCTTGTTCTGTTTGTTCTTCCTAACCAAGTGTGCCAGGTAGAGTCCGGTCTGCGGGAGGGGGTCGTCACCGTGGTTAGAGGTGTTGCCGTGTTGGAAGTTGCATTGCAAGTAGGGTTTGAAGTAAAGAACGCCTCCCCTTTGCAACCGCGTCCTGGCACACAGCCTACTTACACTTAACAGGGAGGGTAGAAGGAGGTTGCTCTCCTGCGGGGTTCATGGAAGAAGGGTGAAATGGGCAATCGGCATTAATGCGAAATGGACGGGAACTTCCAATTGGTGGGAGCGTCCAAGTGGTGCTCCCTACAAAGAGGGGGAAGGGCGCGCTCTCTGCGCACCAGAGTCAAACCTGGTAAAAGGAAAGGGCCAAAGTAGCTATTCCGTTGGCCCCGAGGAGGAAGACGCCCTGCGGGGTGAAGGAGGCAAACCAGTGCGGACAAAATGGGGGCAAAAATGCGCGCAAACGTACACGGTGTAGGGCGTCCTTCCACGCACTGTTCTTGCCTCCATCGCTACCGCCGCCATTCCGCCTTACCACTGAATTGTCATACTCGAAGAAGGCCCCATACAAGAGGCAGCAGAAAAAAAAAAAAAAGAAAATGATTAGCGATTCGATGGGGACCTACATAGAAGGAGGGTGTGTGGTAATGGTCGAAATGGAGGACTTCCACAGTGTTGTCTCAGCGGAAGGAAAAAAGAAAAAAAAGAAAAAATGGTGAGGTAAAATGGTACTACAAAAATGTTTAACCCCTCTCCGAGTGCACATACCGAAATGACGTCGTTCTGAACGTTCAGGTAGACCAGCAGGTGCCCCAAGTAAAGTAACTGTCAAGTGAAAGAAAAAAAAGACACTTGTGTGGTCGGAGAGGTGCAGGGGGGCACACGCGAAACGGACTGAACCGCCTCGTTTGCATCGTTCGCATCGTTCACACTGTTGGCGCTCTTCGCATCTCCACCTCGTCCCAATTCGCCTTACGCTTATCAACAAAAAGGAGCAAAAGGAGAAGAAAATCCTGCGACCCGAATGGGAAAGAAAAAGGTTTTAACTTGGGGCACAAAATGAAAGGGTATAGCCGCATTTCTCACGCTCGGCCAAGTGGCACAGAAAATCGCGTCAGCTTACTGAGGGATTATTTCGTTCAGCACGGAGGGGTTGAGTTCTTCATCTGTGGTGAGGAGGTCGATAGGAAGGTGAGCAGCCGAATAGACGCTTCGCCAATACAGGCATGTAGCCACATTGGCGAGAGAAAGACGTTTCTCCAGTTGCAAAGGGAGCAATACATAAAGTATCCCACACACGAGTGGGAGAGAGAGAAAAAAAGAAACCTACCGATTAGCTCCTGGTTTGTTATTCTCCTAACAAAGCGGAAACAATTGTACCTGCGAAGTGAGAGTACGAGGGGGGGGCGAAGCTGTCTCACTTCACTGCGGCGAATAAACCACGAAGTGGTGACGATAGACATCTTCCCATCGAGATGGCAGCCTCCCAAAAAGGGAAACAACTCTGCCCATTCTGTGTGTCCTTACCAACTCATGCAAAACAAAAAACAGATGATAAAAAACCCGAAGAAGAAAGCCTGCACGGAAGGAGTGGAACAGAAGGGATTGCACAGAACGAGTTGCACATATTTGGGTAAGCACCTCGACTCATCTTCACACCTGCGTTTTCTACTCAGACGAGATGTGCAGATAGAATCTCACTGCTCTGTGTACCTCTAAACACACTCACCAGAAACACCAGGCTGGGAGAGAGGTGAAAAATATTCTTGACATCGAGGAGGAAGAGGAAGAAGAACAAATGTGATAGTTTGACTAGCCAAATGGCGTAATTATTGAAGACGAAGATATCCTTCCCATCTTTCAGTGTCCTTTCTCCGATTAGGTTCTCCTCTAGCTGCAAGGGGGGTGTTTGTATGTGGGGGGGGAAAGGGACCACATGCATTGCAGGTAAGCTGTTCGGGTCCCCCAAAAGGAGGGTTATTAACACGTGGAGGAGCCTTCCCCAACAAGACCATCATACACAGGGAGAAAACCATTCAGAGTAACTTTTCTCCCCTCTCCCTTTTTATTAACCAAAGAGACAGGCACCACTGACATTATGGCGATGCTTGGGGAAGACTGCGTCATCCACTAATTACGAACCGCCTCTCGCGAATGACACTCGAGAGCAGCATAGAAGGAGAGGGATGATGTTACCATTTTGGATAACTTGGGTACGTGGATGACGGGGGAAACAGATGTAGAGGCGACCACTCCGTCGCAGGGTTAGCGATTTCAATATACAAAGGACGTTTTTCCTTCGGAGAGAGAGAGTGGTAAGGGTAGAGCTACAGCCACATGCGTAGGTACACGATCGGGTGACCCTTATGTTGCTTCGTCATCTGCTGCCCCCCCCTCCGGGATGGCCAATAGGGGAATCTTTTTTTTTTTTTTTTTTTTTTTCTCCTATGTGTATCAGATTTTGCGGTACTTCCTTGAATGAACCTTCACATGCCCCCATGGGCAAGAAGAAACATCAAAAAAGGAGCAGCAGAAAAGAGGAAGCAGTAAAAAAGCAAGGAAAGGGGGAAGGTGAGAGCTAAAGTGCCGATATCATCTGGCCGATCGACTTCGAACCGCAACGGGGGTAGAAAATGCAAGGCATGGTGATCTACGTAATGATGGAGTTGTCGCATGCTCGAGCGGAGGAGGGGGAAAAGATGCTAGCCTAGTAAAGGGGCCATTTCACCGAGTGGATTCCCCAAGAATGGAGGAAGATCATCCCACCAACGACTGGCGAGTAAAATAAATGGCCGATTAAAAAGGGGACTACAACACTGCAACATTGCAACATTGCCAATTGTGTTCACCTACGTGTACAGAAGGATGTGTGCATTGCTTACTGTCCCCCCAAAAAAACGTACAGAATCGAGAAGGCGGTTAAGAAAGGGGAGAACTCGTGGGCCCATTAAAAAGAAAAAAAATAACGACTCGCCCCTAGTTTCACGGGGCACCTTTCTACGTTTTTCCGTTTCTCCCTGTCCATATGAGGCACAACATACGTATGCGCACTGCGTGGCTACCTTGTGGCGGAATGGAAGGGGACCTTCTTTCGGCGCGCCTATTACGTTGCCCTTTCGAAGCGTAACCTCGGAAGGTCTACAACGTTATATGATTACAAACACATGGCACTTATTTTACTGATTTTAAAAAAGTCATTTGAACAAATTCTTTTAAAAAAAAAGGGAACAAATGGCATGGTGGGAAAAATGCATGTGCAATTGTCTGGGGGTGCTGCCACAGGTACCGCATGTACATACATGCGCACGTGCGCGTGTACCTGGGGGCAAAGAAATGCTGCGGTGTTGCTGACGGACGGGGTGGCAAAGGAAAGAAGCAAAGAAAAGATACATAACAAAGCAGCGAAGAAAAGATACATAACAAAGCAGCGAAGAAAAGACGCATAATAAAGCAGCGAAGAAAAGACGCATAATAAAGCAGCGAAGCAAAGACGCACAACAAAGCAGCGAAGCAAAGAAGCACAACAAAGTAGGTGTCTAAGCAGGTTAACAAAGCAAATTACAACAAAAAAGCTGTGCAAGTGGCGGCGCAAATGGGGTAGAAAAACGAATAGCCAAACCACATGCACACGCCGCCGGGAAAAAATCCTTTTCCGACAGTTCACCTGAACAGGTCAGAAAAAAAAAAAATTCTTCCCCGAAAATTCGCCTCAAGAGGTCAGAAAATGAGAAAAGAAAAAAACACACAAAGCAAAGAAAAACACAAAGTAAAGCACAAATCTGTATATCGTGACAGGCAACACACGCGCAAAAACGATAACCCACATCTAGACAATCACCTTAGGCCGCCTAGCCATATACACCTTGCTCATAAGGATCAACAAAAATTCGTTGTACGAATATATGAGGACCCCCAAGATACAAAAAAAAACTGAGAGGGAGGAGTGTACGTTAAGGCATTGCTTGGAATCATATTTACAAAAAAAAATATGACTGAAAAGGAAAATGATGGCGACTTTGAGTCCTTTGAGAATTCCAACGGTGAGTGAGCCGCTAATCTTCATGATGTACCAGAGGGTGGACGACGTGACGAAGTTGAAAATGAATAGTCCCAAAAAACTTAGCCAAATGGTATTAATGTTTCCCTTCTTCTTCTTTATATTCTCCAAAATGAGATGATCAAAGTTGGGGATAGTCCATATGACTGTCCACAGGCTGACAAAGCAAAAGCTGAATATACCCATTAAACACACAATGTTCTGTCCTTCCATTTCACCCATGTACTTCTCGTTCAGTACAAATGTTAGCCCCATAAGAATGTTGCTTATGATGATTAAAATGACTCCGATAATTTCTTCTTTGTTAATTTCGAATTTGAGATTATTCGATTTTATGGCTATACCAAATGTTATTAACAGAATGCCAAGCAACTGAAAAGAGTTGATTCTCTTGTTCAGCAGTAGTCTTCTCCATATCGCTGTGAAGATCAGCGTGCAGCTGTCAATAATGATGTACAGAGCGGAGCCTGCATATATTAATCCTATTTTTTTCAACACTTGATTTACTAAATCCAGGACGGAAACAAAAAATATCTTTATCCATTTGCACTGACTCAACTTCTGCTTCTTCGGTAGGAACCCCACGATTATCATAGACAAATAATGCGGCAGGAGGAATATGAACGTGCTGGAGTTGCCGCACCCATTGTACTTTATAATGTCGATGAGCAGCGGCTGGAAGCAGTAGCTGACGAGGAACAAAATGAATGTCGTTATATAAAGTATTTCATTTTTCATTTTTTGTTGGTGCACTGGCGCGGCCTCGACGGTATGTGTGGGTGTGTGGCTGTCCGTGTGGCGGTCCCTCTTGCTGTCCTTGTGCCTATCTGTGTGACTGTCCCGGTGCCTCTCCGTGTGCTCTTCCAGCAGGCAGAGTCCAACGCGGTGATCACCGTTCGGGAAGTGCTCCTGCCCTGGTAAGGTGGCCTGTAGGAAACTAGACGTAATATTCTTTTCCACGTACGCGAGGCGAACATATTCTAACACGTGGGCAAAGCGTGTAGTGTATAACCGCGGGGTGGGACGAAAGAAGAAAAAAAAAAGAGAGACGCCCTTCGAGTTGGATCTAAATTGGTCAAGCTGAAGATGGCGTCGTTACATGCGGCTGCAACGTGTGTCTGTTTGGGGGTGTCTTTCTGGTGAGTTCAATAATACTGCTACTGCTTCGATCACTTCGGGGGTTCTTCCTTATGGAGTGAAAACTTCAAGAAGGGGGGGGGAGGAGGAGCGCTGCCCGATTGACAAGTTATTTGGGAAGGGTAAACAGACATAGGAGTGATGCCGCTTGGGGGCTGCCAAGCGGGGAAGATACGCACAGGTGGGACGCACCGGGGAAAAAACAAATGAACGTACGTGTGTAGGGGAAAAAAATGCGATGAAGCACTAATTGGTCTGCAGTACCGTATAGGCCACAAATGGTACGCGGCAAACGATGGGCGTTATACCACTTGGTTGCTTTTTGCACACAGACAGGGGTAGCACTACACACTGTCCGCAAAAGGCACACACAGAAGGGCAGGCGCGCTTCCCTCTCCCTCAGTGCTTATCAAGCAATCATCAAAGTAGAAAGTTTTCTCCGCGCGAGGGTAGCTCAACCAAGGGGTTATTCCGTATGGTCGACGCGAAAAAAAAAGAAAATAAAAAAAAAACAATTGGCCAAAAAATTGGGTGCAGAGCATATCCATAGATGCACTGAGAAACAAATGCGAATATTCAGTTAAACGGTTTCGCAATTGGCTGGGGGGCTATGATGACGATTAAAGATGGGAAGGAGGGGGGAAGGGCCTATTTTGGGAGAGGCACACCACATATGGAGGCTTAGCGTGGGTAGAAAGAAGTATACGCAGGTATAGAAGTAACACGTGAGGAGAGGCACACTTAAGCAGCCATGTATAATTCCCACGCGTATATGTCCAATCTATGGACAAGCTCAGTGGTTATGGTAAGAGTGGGGACACACCTCTTCCGCTAACCGCGCCGAAGATTAATGAGAGCTTCCCTCCTTTTGCTTTAACGCGGTCTTCCAACGTGATGATGCACCGACGCCACGCTGAGGCGACAGGACCGACGGTGTTGAAAAGACTTCCAACGGGGTAATAGTCAGAAGGCGTCACAAATTTGTGTTCAGTTAGCCAAGTGGGGTAGTGGCGAGGTGGCGAGGCGACACAAGGGGTCTCTCTCTCTACCCGTTAGACACACACTGGGAGATGCAAACGTTCAGGAAGAAGACACTCAAGCATGGGCATAAGGATAGGTATATGTATAGGCATAGGTATGCATTCACTATGGGTGAACTTTGGGGGGGCAAGGGGGTCCTCGTCTATTAAAGCCGCGCGTACAGACAAACCAGCACCCGAATGCGTCAGGAAGGACGAACTGTACAGGCAATATCTACATGTGTAACGGCAACCGCAACCACGTAAAAGAAAAATTTAATTAAGAAAAAAAAAAAAAAAAAAAAAGGGGGAAAACAAGAAATGAAAAGAGGAGAAGTCCGCTCTGTAACTCGCCCGCTCGACAACTACTCCAACGTTCACAAGCACATTACAACATTCACCGTGACGTATATCTGCAGGTGAACAAAGTTATCACGCTGGAGTAACATTGAAACACCTCAACCTGTCGACATAGGCTGGTTCAGTAACTGCTTTCTTTTTTTCTAAAAGGTTAAAGCATGAATTATTCATATTGAAGAGAGAAGTTTTTCTTTACTTTTTTTTTTTTTTTCAATTTGTTGGAAGGGCAATTTTTTTCACGCAACAATTTTGTTCTCCACTTTAAAATGGCATTTTATATAAAACTCGCATCTGACCCTTTAGTCAAGTCCATCTCTGATCATCGTAAAAAAGGAGAAGTAGGAAGGGAAGAAGTGGGGGTATACTTAACTCTGGGATGGCAATATTGTTACGAAAAAAATAAAATAAATTCAAACACAGGGAAACACAGAAAAAGTGAAAACGTGCGAGGGGGATTTTTCCGTTCGCTGATATATTTTTTCTTATTTTTTTCTTCTCCCCTTTTTGCGGTTTTTTTTCTTCTCATTGCTATGAAGATTTGCTATCTCCTATATTGCGGTGAAGCGAAGAAGGGGAAAGCTGATAGGCGTAAGCGGCCTTTAGGCAAAAGAAAAATAATACACCACTATGCGGTGTTACTAGGGTGTGCGGTTAAGTTTTTTACTTCCCTCTCATGGAAGCTCTGTGAACAAACGGGGGCGTAAATAAGGTGGTTACTTTTTCTTTTGGTTGTTACTAGATTTGCGCGAGGGTGACACCCGTCCCACGGGGGGGTATACATCGATATAATTATTACTTCTTATGGCTAATACGTGTATGTAATATATATATATGCGGTGCCCCGCGGATATATATTTCCTTTGAGGGTGCGCTTTTCTCATCGGCGTTGCCACTCAGGGGCATACTCCACTGGGCGGCATGAAAGGAAGAGCACAAAACAGAGGCGGGTCGATCCGTTCATCGCCTTGTCCATTGCCCCGTTCCCACTGCGTTGGTAATTTTTCCCCTTGGACGGACAGTATCATGGATGCGATTGCTCTCTAAGGGGGGGACCCCGCGACATAGGCAAACGGCAGATGCGCGTTGGCCTGCCTACGTAGAGGGGTGCAATGGGCAAAAAGAAGGGCGCAAAAAAAAAAGGCAAAATGGCAGAAAATGCCGTGAAAATGCCTCTATACCCCAAACACGGATTGCAAAATTTACAAAAAAAAAAAAAAAAGCAAAACGCGCAAAGTTAGAAAAATGCGAAATGTAAGGAGAAGCGAACGAAGAAGTTGCCATGTTCCGCAGTTGAGAAGGCCCACCAGCAGAGTAGCAAATAAAATTCTTAACAACCGCCCTGCCCCTTTCCCTTTTCCGGTAAATATAACACAAAGGGAGGCTTGAAAAAGTCAAACGTAGGAGCGGGGAACCTACAAAGACGACTCTGCCGTGGAGCCCCCTCGCGTTGCATTCCCCTACATAAAATAAAATACGGGTACCTGCCCATCCGTATGGTGGCCTACGCGTCCCCCTGCCTACTCTTCACCCACGTTACATCTCTCCTCACTGTCACCCCGTAGGAACGGATAAAATGACACAGACGGCCAAGTGAGAAAGCGCCCCGACAGAGTTACGAACCGTAGAGAGCCATCAGAGCCGCGACAAGAAGAAGAGGCCATGCCCAGTGGAGCCGTTCCCGGGACCGGTGGGGCAGTGTCAACGCATCACGTGGTGTAGCCTCGAGACCTGGCAGGGGAGAACTGCTCAAGGAAAAAAAAAGAAAAAAAAAAAACACCAGATTGGGAAAGCATCCAAGTGACCAACTCTTGAGAACCTCGTGCCCGTTCCGAAGCTACTTCTGCAAGACGGCTGGGTATACGCCACAAAAAATAACACTCACAGGAAGGGGGCAACGGAAGAAAAAAAAAAACGCCTTGCCCAGGGGGATGTCTCTTTAATCACCCGGGAGGGTAAAAGAAGAGTCACCCTTTTTTAACCCTGTCAAAAAAGTATATACTTTTACACGATGAAGAGGAAATACTTATGCGGGCACAATCGTCCGCTGACGCATGTGAATACGAATTACGATGGGGACTTACTTTTCACTACAGGGAGGGTTAGTATTCCCTTGCAGGAGGGCATCCCATCGTGGAGACCGCCTCCGTGTAACCTCCTCTGCGGTTAGCGCTGATAAGCGTGGCAGACACCGTCGCAGTGATCACATATACCAACACGTGTTTAAAAATCTTTTCCTTTTTTTTTTTTCCCCTCTTTCTTCACTTAAGGATAAAAAGTTCATTTTATGGAGAGTTGCTGATGGGAATCAAATAGGTAAGTGCAGCGAGTGAGGAGGCGGGATGAGGTGTGGTATCATCTGCGGTATGCTTTTTTCTTGTGGGAAATGCTGAGAGGATGCTCTTCGCCTGGACATGGCGAGGCGTCCCCACCACCACGTGGGCTTACCGCTTCGCTGCATCACCGCTTCGTCGCATCACCACTTCCTATCTTCGCTTCCCCCCCCTAAGGCCTCTACGAATGCAGTGGCGCCGTGTACAACTCCGACGTGACGTACGACAGCAAGCGGATTGTATGCTCCTCCGCCGCGAACAAGGTATACATATTTGACGTGTACACGGGAGAGCCGCTGACCGTTTTGGAGGAAAATGGCCCCGTGCGTTTCGTCGAATTTAACAAGAATCCATTGGACCAGAGCAGAATAATCGTTGCCACGGACAGACTGAAGGTGGAACACAAGAGATTCATCAAACTGTATGATTTAAAGAGCAATGAAGTGGTATGGAAACAGGAACATGAGAGTAGATGTATCCAAGTCAGGTGGTGTTTTTTCGACAAACTTATCCTTTCGGCACACGAAAATGGAGAGATTGTCATTTGGAATGCCGAGGATGGTCATCAGATGCGAAAGATACAAGCTCATTCAAAGGAGGTGACCAACATAGCCTTCGACAAAGACAGGATGATTATGCTGACTTCCTCTGCAGACGGAACAGCCACGTTAAGAGATGCAATAAACTTTGACGTGATAAATGAGTACACAGCGGACAGGCCACTAAACACGTGTGATATATCTCCCCTCTTTAAGAGTGAGAACAATCCGAAGAATCACATAATATTAGCTGGCGGTCAGGCAGCTGAACATGTTACCACAACTGCCTCCGGGGAAGGGAAGTTTCAGACGCTGCTCTACGACATCGTCCACGCAAATGAGTTAGGAAGCATCAAGGGCCACTTCGGAACGGTGCACTCCATTAAGTTCCTGCCACACGGTGATGGGTTTGTCTCCGGGGGCGAGGACGGTTTCGCGAGGATTTATCACTTCGATAAGGACTACTTCATCGGGAAGTACGACTAGCGGTGCAGTGGAGCCGTGGAGCGGCGAAGCACTGCACTCATTTGCTTCCTTTTCCCCCGCGAAGAAGCGATCCGAAGTGACCCCAATAGACTCCTTCCATGTCGACATTCGTTTGTTTTTCCCCAAACAGCGCCTCCCCCACCGCAAAAAAAAAAAGACAAAAAAAAATGCAGAAATGCAAAACCTTTTCCCCTTCTTTTTACCTCCTCGAAACAACTCCCTTTTAACGTATATCATCACTATGAGAACATTCGATGCGATTTTTTTGTCATCCCCCCATTTGGGCACCGATCGCAGTGCTGCTCTCTGTGGTTACAGCAGCCGTAGAAGCAGCACCGCTACCCTTCCTACACGCATCTCTACTACTGATGGCCATACGCCGACAGGGCACCCACCACCGGTTCCCCCCTTTTGCAATTCCGAAGGTACTTAGCGGGTCTGCCCTTCTGGGGGGCATCTCCCCGCACGGCGACACTCTCCTTGTGCTTGTAGTCGTTTAGGATGTAGCTTCTCGTAGCGTTGTCCAGTTGCTGAATATTCCATTGCGTCTTCGTGGCAAGTAGCTTCTCCGCCATCCCCGCCTCTTCCCACTTCCTCCCCATCCGTCTGTACCCATGTCGCAGCTTTGACAGGTTCACACGAACGGGTTCTTTCGTCACTGGATCTTCGCACAGGTGCACCGTCAGGCTACTCTTCTGGGGGAAGAGTGCTATGTAGCGATTAATCCGATTCACGACGTGGGCACTGAATAAGTAACTCCGCACATATGCCTCCTCGCTAAACGCATTCATAACGATTAGCAGGTCGAGATGCTTCCTCCCCGATCGAACTGAGAAGCCTACCCACAGGTGCAGAAACAGTTTGAGTAGTTCCTCCTTTATTTGTTTCTCGTTGCAGATGAAGCGGCGGTCGTGGGGGGACACAACCACTAGGGTGTTCCCCTTTGCACCTCTCGCTGCTGAGCGCTTCACCGATGCGTACCTCCCTCCACCAGCAGCGGAAGAAGTAGCGGCAGCAGCAGTAGCGGCAGCAACAGTAGCACCGCCACCCTTCCCCCCGAGGTGCCGCAGCAAAGATCGGTAGTCCCCTTGTTTAACCCTTTCAAAATAGATTAACATGAGACAATAAAGCGTTTCCTCCCCCAGCGGAGGGGACAGATTCCCCCAAACGGAATTGAAATATTGAAGCCACATGGAGGCATCTCCGTGATTCCCCTCTCGATGGAGAGTTAATAAATAAAAGGCATAATGGTACCTCCTCTTCTGCAGCCACAGCTTCTCTTCCTTTCTCTCCAATACGATACTTACTAAGAGGCGAAGCAAATTCGTATCCACGTAACGTTCGCACCTGTACAATGTGAAGGTAATTAAGAATAAGTAATCGACGTAGGCAGGGGGGAAGTGTTCACTTCTGAGGTCCACCTTCTTGAAGTCATCACAGATTCTCTTGGCTACATTCTTTACGATGTCTCTGTTTGGTAGTGTATATTTTTCCAGCGCTCCGCAGAGGAGGAGCATTTCTGTGTATCCTAGCTGGGAGGTTATTTCGGGGCAGGCGGGAAGCAGCGTGGCGAGGAGGCCGCTTAGACAGGTGGAGGGGTAAGAAGGGGAGGCTTCCATTAGGTGATTATTCCCTTCTCCTGTGTGGGCTTCTCCCCTTGTGTGGGCTTCTCCCCCTGTGTGGGCTTCTGCCCTTGTGTAGAATGCTCCCCCCGTGTTGGCTTCCCCCCCCGTGTGGGCGTCCAAACTCCCCAGCAGCAGGCGCACCAAACGGGCGGCATCCTCGCCCGAAAATTTATGCACGTTGTTTAAGAAGATGGATAAAAATGGAACAAAGTGTAGCTTATCGAAGCAAAGCTGTGCCAATGTCACGAGACACTTCACATCGTACTGCGTCACGAAAGGGGTTCCTCCAAACTGATGTTCGTACAGATGGATCCTCTCCCTCACCTCCGCAGTCTTATCTTCCAGCTGGTTCATACTATTAAGGAGGGAAAGAATCTCAACGCACTCATGTAACGTTGTGTCCAATGGCATTTCGAAAAATATCTTTTTTGCTTTCTTCGCCAAGGGGTTCAGGACTTCCGCGTGAAGCTCCCCATAGAGACATATGTACTTAACTATGCTTAGCATATTCCTTCCACTTAGTTCGACATACCACTCCGGGGATCTTTCACGTCTTCCATTCGTTTGCTTCTTCGACACGTCGCAAATATGATGTCCTCTCCTTTGTACTGTCCTCCTCACGTAGGATGATAAGTGGCTCTTCTTTAAAAGGGAATCTTCCGTATGTACAGAGGTGTTTTCCACTCTGCTCCTCCCAGTTGACACTCCGAAGACGTGGGAAAGGAAGTCATTCCAGAAGGGGACAAAGGGATTCTCTTTCAACGTAAAAAAGCAGAGCGCTTCACATGTCATGGCAACGTCATTCACAGTAAACATGTTGATATTATCTGCACAGTGGAGTGTTAACACGTGGAGGAGGTTCTTCTCCGAGCGGATCATTTGTGTCCAGTGGTTGTGTTGCCTGCCCGGGGGGGGCTCTCCGTCCACGCAATGGAGAAGCGGCTCAGGGGGAGTGGGAGAAGTGGACCCACTGCACAAACTGGACCAATTGTGCAACGCGTGAGACGCCTGGTTATCTCTTCCCAGGGGGGGCGGGTCAACCCGGTGCACTACGGACACATGTCGGAAAGTAAACTTTACGAGGACAAGAAAGATTTGCAGAAAGTGTCGGGGTTCCATGCTACGGTAGGAGTTTCTTAGGTAGGCGAAGAGGAAGCTGAGGAGGGCGGCGCTCCTTCTGTTTAGTTTCTTCAGAGCGATGGAGAGGAGGTATGCGTTTACGTGGTCGATGTGGCGATTGTACGGTGTGGTGTGGTCACTCCTCAGGTCGTTCATTGTGAGGGGGGGAGAGAGAGAAGCTGTCTGGGGGAGTGGGCCCATCGAACGCCCCTCAGCTGGCTCCTCAATTGGATCTGCCCCCCCCGTACACCCCACATTGCAGCAAAAGATCACTCTGTGCAGGTCATCCCAGACAAGTTCATTTTTAATCCTTCCCTTTATCACCTTCTTCAGCACTTTGCTAATGTCCTTTTCACTCAGAAGGTGCAGCTTCTTCTTAAAGAGGCGGTCCACCAAATGTTTTCCTTCCTTTCTTATATCCTTCTCCGCCGCTTTGAATATGGCCTTGTGTTTTTTGTATACTGCTGCTCGTGCGGTGCACTTGACAACGGTAGGGTTGGAGCTTGGCGTCGCGACAGCCTCAACGTCGCGCAGAGCGCCCTGAAGGAGAAACCGGCGGGGGATCCCCATGGTGGATTGCCGGATGGAGTTACTGGGAAGCGGTTCCACCGGGATGACAAACACAAAAAAAGGAATCCACAAAAGGGGCATAAATACTGAAGTGATCCTCCCCCTACTCCTCCTCGTGGCAACCACGGGAGCGGTGGAAATAATCGCGCTGGCAGTTCATAGTGTCAGCGCAAGGGCCTCAAAAATGGAGGGAGATCTCCCGCACTGAGATGTCGTGCACTGGGACGAGTGCTCCTCGAATGTGCTGAGCGAGTCAAATATGGTAAAAGTTCCAAACGGAGAAAATCGGCGAGCGGGTTAGCCCATCAAACGATCAAATCGATTCACTAAAAGTTTGTAGGAAAAAAAAGAAAAAAAAAAAAAAACAAAAGGCGCTCTTACGAAGAGCAGAGCATACCTTCTTTAACCACTCCTCAAATGTGCGCGGGAAAGTTACTAACTCGGAAGGGATCCACAAATGGGGTGTACATAAAGGAATACATTTTTGTGAGTGTGGCGTGGAGGAGTCACCAAAAGGGTCGTATCGATGATATCCACGAAGGAGTTCCCCCAGTGTGGAAGTTACAACATTGTACTTCTTCATCGCACGTCTCATTTCTTACTCGTACTTCCCCCTGTTCATCCCACTCAACATTCGCGCAACGGACGCGATCTGCTCAGCGACGTACTGAACCTCCTCGGGGGTGTTATAAAAGAAAAGCGAAACGCGCGCGCAGTCGGGTATTCGCAAGAACTCCTTCAGCAGTAGGGACGCACAGTGGTGACCAGACCGGATGCACACATTCTTGAAATCAAGGAAGGTTACCAAATCGAAGGAGGTGAACTGGTCTGACCACAGGGGTAGTATAGGAATTTTTTTTCCCTTGTCCTTTCGGATGTTGTGTATGTAGAGTCTGCACTGGTCGTCCTCGCGGCTTCTGCCAATAGGCACACTGCTAGTGCCGCTGCTTCGATTGTTGCCACTCATTACGCCCCTTTCTCCCGGGAGCTGCACCAGGCCCCCTTGCAAGTGCTGACCCAAATGGTAGACGAGAAGATCGTAGAGGTACATCTCGTAGCGGCACAGAAGGTTGTGGTCGATCTTGTTCAAAAAGTCAATGGCGACACCCATGGAAATGATCCCCGCGATGTTCTGCGTGCCAGACTCGAAGAGATGCGGGGAGGACGCAAACTCGGATTCATATTTACCAACACTTGTTATCATATTGCTTCCGTACAAAAGTGGTCCAAATTTGTATGAACATGTTAAGGTGTTTTTTAAGTAAATAAAACCACAGCCCAAAGGTGCACAAAATTTATGTCCCGATGCGATTAGCACATCAGGGCAGGAGTTATTCGCTTCCATCCGTTTGAGGTCATATCTTATGTGTGCAAAACTTTGAGCAGCATCTACGACGACAATGACATTTTTGTTTACCTCCCTGACTGCCCTTATAATGGCAGATAACCTCTGAATGTTTCCTAATACATTGGATACGTGACTTATTGAAATGATTTTGGTGTTATTGTTGATCCTCTTTTGTAACTTCTTGATGTGAATGTAGCCGGTACTCTTCAGCGGGATGTATTTGATTTTTCCTTCTTTTTTCCTCTTTACTTGTTCTTGCCAGGGCACTATATTGGAGTGGTGTTCCAAATAGGTGAGGTATATTTCGTCTCTCCTTCTTTGGATTACTCGATCCATCAGCATGCTGCAGATGAGGTTCAGCCCGTGTGTCGTGCCGCTTGTGAATATAATTTCATCCTCCCTTTCGCAGTTGATGTAATTCTTTATCTTCTTCCTCACTTGTTCGTATCTGTTCGTCGCGTCCAGGCTCATTTTGTAAATCCCTCGGTGGATGTTGGCATTCTCGCTGGAGTAGAAGTCGGTCAGTCTCTGGGGGAAAAGTGGCCAGGCGGTGTAGTGAGGCGGTGTAGCAGAGGGGTGAGACGGCCGTGTGCCTGTGTAGTGAGGCGGTGCATCAAAACGGTGAGACGGAGGTGCGACAGTGTATAGCCTTCTCATTCACCACGCTGCTCACCCTTATGACGCAGTCCGGCTTCTGGGTCGTGGCCGCACTGTCGAAGTACACAGGGCAATTCTCCCTCTTGAAGAAGGGGAATTCCTCCCGAATTCGCTTGAAGTAATTCTCAACGCCGGCATCCATTTGAGGCTTCCCATTTTCATAGTTCAGCTTGGTCATTCGATGGGGGAGTTTGCCTATGTACAGGTCACTCCTACCGACGTGGTACGCGTAACATGTGTAATTCGCGAGGCGTAGCAGCAGGCAAATCCATGCAGCACTCGAGGGCCGCATGATCACATGGTGTTATGGCACTATACTATTCTCCTTTTTTTAAAGAGTGGGTGATGGGTAGCTGCGCGCCCGATTTGGCGACTGATTGATTGATCGATTAACCGATTGCCCATTTTACACAACTTTTAAAATGATGTAGCTTTAACTGATAAGGGGTTCCCAGTGGGGAAGATCAGCATATCGCTTCTGAGAAGCTAGCCATTTGAGGGGAAAAAAAAAAAAAGGAAGAAAAAAATACCTTAACCGTTCAGGTTGTTCAGGTAGTTTTTCTCCAAAATGGGCGACATTTCGTGCAGAAAAAAAAAAAAAAAAAAAAAGAATTAATAAAGTAGAACGGAGCAGGAGACAACGCAGTGGACCATATCGATAAACAAGCAGGGGGGATAACTGATGTAGGAAAAAGCTAACACATGTGCCGCTCGCTGGGATAAAATAAAGGAAAAGAAAGAAAAAAAAGTACACGAGAAAGGAATGGCTCAACGGTATGTACACACGCGGAGCCTCTTCTTCTACTTCGCTCAGCAGGGCGCTCACCGCATCGCAACGCTGCTTCACTACACCGCGTCGCTAAATCGCGTCGCTAAACCGCTTGGCCTCCTGCAGGCAGAACTCGAAATTTCTAAAAAAGTAGAATGCCCAGAACAGCCGTACCCTTTGGCTCTTTTTTCTAATTATCTTTTTGTACACCTGGTCGGCGCGCGCATCGAAGGGGAAGACGTGGTGGACGTGGCTGATGAGCTGCGAGGCCGTGAAGTAACAACAAAGGGAGATAGAAAATGGGCGAAACATTTAACGAAAGAACATGCGAAACACTGTAAACGTTGCAAAAAAAAAAAAGGATAGTCACTTCCATGGCGCATGTGAAGAGAAACTTCTCCTTTTCTTTTTTTTTTTTTTGTTACCAAGTCGGGCTTCTCCTCCACCCCCACGACGCCTCGAAGGAAACCATTTATTTCGTCGACCGATTTGCGTTCATCCGTTTCTCTGCTCATGAATCGCAGGCTGCGGCAAGTGGGAGTGTAAGCGGCGGAGAAGTAAGCATACACGCAGTAGAAACCCACAGCATGCAAAAAAATCGCCCCTGCTAATCGCCAGGCACACACAAATGAGAGACGCGGACAATCGTTACCTCGTCTCGTAAAGGCCCCCCTCAGGTGAAGGTTCTCCTGGATGGTCCTCGAGTGCACTAGGCCCATCACACTGGGGGGGGAATATGTTGTGATCGTACAACACCGAGATCAGCTTGTTCTGTTTGTTCCTTTTGAATAAGAGGAGGGATTCCTGGGCGTGGGGAAGAGGCACATAAAGGTAAAAGGAAACGGCATGCATTAGTGCGGTCTCTCTCTATACATATATATATATTTATCTGTCTGTGTATCTCTTTCTCCCCCTTCCCATCCGCCCGCATCCAACTCACCAACGAGTGCGAAAAAGGCAACATATTCTTGGCAAAGCAGACGTTGGAAATTCTAACAACGTGGGAGCGGAATTTCGACAAGTATTTTTTCACGAGTGTGTCTTTTTTTTTCTTCTCCTCGAAGATCACATTCCGCAGAAGGTTCTTCAGTTCGGGTGGACTCAGACAGAAAATGATTTGTTCACATTTGATGGACTTCCTTCCGAGACGCACCTAAGGTGGTGAGGCAACCGTGGAAAGTAAAAAAGAGGGGGGATTATAGAACGCTCATTTTGAGCTACACGTGTAGCGGTCTCTCTGCACAGAACAGACGAACCATCGCAGGCGCGACGATCAAAGGGGACCTAACCTTCACCCCGCGGCGCATGCACCTAATTTGTAGGTCTCCCCTCCTGGTTATCACTTCGACGTTGCTGCATAATTGTAGGTGGTCCCGAAGTTTGCTAAGGGGGGAGGCGAAAGAGGAAAGGCGAAAGAGGAAACGTTAAAGATGAACGGTGAAAGATTAACCGTGGATGTTATTCCACTCGGGCGACAAAACTAAGTGTTTGTGTGTCTGTGTCTGCCACTTTGGGCTGCGACTCTGACGAAGGACAAACGAACATCTGGAGTTGCTCCTACGTCCTATCTGATCAGCACCATGTGGAGGTGCCCACTGGATGATAGTCCTGCTTACTTCACTAGGGTGACGTTTCCCTTCCTGAATTTTCCGATCTTCTTTTTTTTGGAAAAGATGGACGAGCTACCTGTTCTTGCGGTTGCGCGGAGAGCCTTGATGAGGGACTTTTCTTCCTCCATCCGATTCATAAAGTCGGAGAAATGGGAGCTGCAGGGGGGGTCGCAATGAGGGGGAGCCAAATGGAGGATATCCCAAATGGGGGGTATCCCAAATGGAGGATATCCCAAATGGAGAGACGAATGCAATCCTGAAGAAGCATTTGCCCCAATCAGCGCACCTACCGCATGAGCACATCCCGGGGAGGGTACCCAAAGTAGTGGAGGCAGTATGGACGAATCACACTTTCGAATAAGTGAGCTCCGAATCGTTTGGAGAAAAATGAGTCCATTCGCTCCCCCTTTGGCGTAGGGATGGATGATCCGAAGAGGTAGTCTTTCACAAGGTAGAACAAAATCTTCAGGATAAACTTATTGATTCGGTAAATTCGTCCAAATTCATCCAAATAGGAAAGGTTGTTTGCGTACGGGTTACTCAAAATGACTGCGCAGAGGGAAGGGGGTTGAAGGAGGAGCAATGACATTAACACAGTTACTATGCGACGGGGATGACTGACAGACATATGTGTGAGCAGCTATACTTGTGGAATAACAGAAGGTGCGCCACAACTTCTTCTGTCTCAATTTTGAGACTTACCTTCATCCTCTGCAGTGACCGATCGAAGCAGTTCATTGAAATGAGAGGAAGGCCCACCCAGGGAGAAGCTATAGTGCCTCCCCACCTCAAATACGTTGTTATTTAAATACACTGTATCAATGAGGCTGCATTTCATCTTAACGTTTAGCAGCTTCACGTGGTGTTTATTTTTGGACAAGTATAGGGCCAGACAGAGGGAGTCCACGCCGCCGCCTACAATGCTGCTCAGGTAAGGGGCAGGAGGAAAACACAAGCATCACGGAACAGTGTAGGTTGAACGTAGCTTAGCATGTGCCGCTTAACGGTACAAGCACGCGAGCACACTCTCCTGCCCGTGCGTACTTCTCATCTGAGCGAACCATATAGATTTGGTAGCCTTGGCCATTAGCTGGGCGCGCCGAGGGGACGACGCCATCGGGGGGAGGAAGCAAAGCGGTCTGCCGCGAAGAAAGGGGACGGGTTGTCGTTAATAGTGTCACAGCAAAAAAGAGGGGGGCCCTACTTGGGTGAACGTCCAACGAAGTGTAATTGGACAATAGGTGTAGAAGTAGAAGCAGAAGTGGATGTAGCAAAAGAAAGAAAAAATTCTCTCACCAGCTAGGAAAACTTCTTCCTCTTCTCCACGCCAATCGCGACGCTAAAACTCCAGCTCGCCCTGCAAACTGCGGAAGAACATCTCCTTCCCGTCCACCTGCAGAAAGGGTAAAGATTTAAAAGGGAGCGGTGAGTGAGGGTCGCCATGAAAGAGAGAAAGTCGTGAAAGCCGCCAAATATGCTCGTGCTGGGATCCCTGGAAGTGGAGTCACTCCCGTGGAAGGCAAAAGAAAACGCATCAAACCTTCATCAGTCCTCCCTTAAGCTTTATCTTCCAATTGCTACTTGCGTTCCTGCGCCCACAGGGTTTGGTTATCTGCAGGAGGGGAAAAAAGGAGAGAAGGGAAGAAGAGTTAAACAGCGGGGGGAACTCCATCAGGGTCGTCGTCACATCAGCTCCGTTGCAAAGAAGCATACCATCCCGCACCATTACAAACCCCCCTAGGTCCTCTCCTCTGTCTGGCAGGACTTACTTTGTCGCAAATCCCGACGATCACGTTAGATGTCGGGGGGTCCACGTCGCTCAGGTCGCTTATGGAGATGTCGTCTAGTTCTTTGAGTTCGTCTGAGGAGGGGAAGCAGTGGACATGGGGGTCAGTACATGGTCTCGTATCAAATTGGGAAGGTTCCTCCCACAGTGAAACGCGCAAATGCGTCACTACACATCTCTGTGTGACGGCTGAAATGTAGCTCGCAGGGGGCCTCACCCGCCTCGTCATCCTGGACGTGCTCTTCCAGCTCGACTATTTCCTTCTCCTCCACTTCGGCGTCTTCAAATTCGTCGTCCTCAAAGTCGTCTGCGTAAGTGGGAAGAAGAATCATGAGGGGAGAGAAGCGTGTGTGTGGGGAGAGTATACATGCCGCACGGAGGATAGAAGTGTGGCGGCTACACAGCTGCTCAGACACTACGCTGCTTGGCTACTCCACTGTTTGCCGCTTCGCCGCTCCCTTACCGGTAATGTTGATCCTGCCCTGCTGCTGCGGCACGCCCGGCTGGTCAGAGGCCCTCTCCGTAACCTGCAGCTTCCTCTCATATATCTTCAGCCACCTGATCTTTATGGCTTCCAAAATGCGTGTGTTGTAGAACTGGCTGCACTTCTCGATGGTCCCGTCGATGATCTTCCTGTGCACTTCCTCCAGCTCAGAGTCTTTCAGCAGGGACATTTTCGCTCTCGGGGGGCAGCGGGAAAGCGTCAGATCGGCAAAGCGGTACAGCGGCCAATCCGTTAGGCGACGCAGCTACACGCACAATTGTGTAGCCCCCCTGTACGTTCCTTCGAGTGGCAAATAAGAACACAACGGGCGAGAGCTACCTTCCTTTCAAATGAATGGTTTAAAAAAAAAAAAAAAAAAGGAAGATGGACAACGTTGTTTCCAGTTTGACCCGCTGTTACTCTCGTAGGAACAAAAAATTACCAACTCCTCCGCGGTGGAAACGTCGAACGGGGAAAGGAGACGCACATACTGACGCGCCGAAGTTAGTATCGCAGTGCCTTTGAAAGAAAAAAAAAAAAGAGAAAAGCAGAGGGGAGAAGCCAATTGGGCATTGTCGATAAAAGAGGGCCTTACCTTATTTGAATTTTCCTCAGGCAACGGTGCATCCTCCGAAAAGAATAAAATAAAATAGAATAAAATGAGATAAAACAAAAACGAACAAGCTATGCCATCAAACCAATTAAGCCTATCGGACGGATAACCAACCTCGTGCTCGCTTCCCCACCACTGCAAAAATCCAACTGCACATCAACCGGACAAGCCAATAATATATCACCCTCCAAATTGAAAATATTTTTTTTTTTTTTTAAAATGTAACATAATACAAAGTTAGTGGCTAAAGTGAGGGGGTCATTTGGGAAAAGAAAGAAAAAAGAGAAAAAAAAATACAGAGGTATATCTCCTCCAGGTGTAAAAAAAAAAGAGGAAGATGAAATAGGTGTACATGTGAAAATGTGCGAGATGGGCAGTGTGGGCCAGGTGCACCTGTAACCCGTTCGTTGTCACCCCTTCGTCGTGACCACTTCGCCGGAGACGTTCCCTCTGAATGGTGAGCCCCCACGCGTGCGGGACCGCTGAACGACTGGTAACCAACCAGCCACTGCGCGCCCGCGAGGAGGGGACGTTGCGCGCTCGCGCATTGGGGCATTTCCCACATGGCCCCTTCCTCAGACGCGAGGCGCGTGCATCCTGGCCGCACGCACGGGGAAGAAGCAGTTCATTTGACACTCTCTTTCCGGTGTCGCCACTCCTCATCAGGTGAAGATCTCCTCGTAGTTTGTGTTGTCCACTACATTCGTCAGGAAGGAGTAGGTGATGGTGTCACAGATGAAGTTGTTGTTGTTGCTGTTTCGAAGCAGCTGGAACATTTGGCGGTTGATAATTTCGTTCCTGCGGGGGGGGGGGGGAAAGGAGCAATGATGAGCGGTGAATGGTGAGCGAGCTAGTCAGCAGCAAAACACAAACACATGTGGACGGGCCGAAAGGAGTACGCCTGGCCAAGCCACCCATCTGGCTACCAAACGATTGACTCACTTAAGCAGGTCCTTCGATATGGAGAGAAGAGCCGACTTCGGCTGAAGAGAGCAATTGTTGTTCTTTAAGAAGAGCATGTAGTTATAATCCAAGAAACAGGTATCCTTGTTATCGATATTCACATAAGTGCATTTCTTATAACTATTGCATTTTTTCTCGTCATTGGATAAGGTGTAGCATTCTACTTTGTCCTCGCTGTTCATTTTTATATCATCCAGGATCTTCTTTGAGAGCTCTTCTTCATTCATAGTAAAAATATCTTCACCGATGTTATTCATTTGGTTTGATTCTGTCGAGTCGGGCGAATTGGATGGATCCCTCGTAAGGTCATGTTCTCTGATTCCCTTTTCTGAACCGGTTTGTATGTTATTCACTGGACCTGATAGGTCGTCCAAAATGGAATCCGAGGAATTTATCACCTCTTCCAGTAGGTCTCTATTTTTTCCATTGTCTCGCTCGTTGACCTCGCTAGGTATATGCATTTTTATTTCTTGTTCGATTTGTTGCTTATTTAATTCTTCTTCACTGAATGGGGAGCTGCTTCCCTGTGTGATTTCTTCCAACACGTACACGTTGTCTCCATCGGTGAGGATGATCTTCTGCTTTTCTTCGTTTCCATCGACAGTTCGGGTGAAGAGGCCTTCCACGTCGGCCTGATTGGCTCCATTTGGGGTGGTACTTTCCGCGACGCTTTTCACGGCGTCCAGGTTCATCACCAGGTCGTCCTTCCCGTCCATCCCTCCGCTGTGCAGCTTGATCTCCTTCTCATCGGTCAGGAGGCTGGCAGGGTTGGCCGAGTTGGCAGCGCTACCATCGCTAACCTCGCTAATGGCACTCGCCTCTGCCGCCTTCGCCGCCGAGGCGTCCACCTCCTTGGCCTTCATCACCTTCTCGCAAAAGAAGGGCGAGCAGCTCTCCTCCAACTCAATCTGAAACTCCGTATTGCTTGACTTGCTGGCACTTAGATTGTCCAAAAAAGATACAGTGCTGTTGTTTACCACCTCTATGATGAACTTGCTATATAAATCGGACAACACCTGCTTATTTATGAAATCTTTGTTTTCTTCCAGGAAGGACTCTCCCAGGATGGCATCTCCTTCGAAGAGCTTACTCTTTCCGTTGGCTCCTTCAGCAGAATTGGTTCCCTTTAAAAAATCTTTCAACGACTCACTAAACTGTGTGTTGCCATCCAGCATGATGTTAGGGATACTCTGACTAGATACATTCTCCGTGGGCTTCTCCGACTTGGGTGATCCCTTCAACGAGTCGGGGGTGCCGGTCACTTCATTGCCATAGAGCTGGAGGGTGGTAACTTCGCTTTTCTGTAGGAGAAGGGAGAGCGCTGCTGCAAGGAGCACACGGATTGCTGAGCCTCTCATTTTGGCTTCTTCGATCGCTTTGATTGGTTTACTTGTTCCGGATGGATGATGGGGTGGGTCACTATTCTTTCCTCGGGAGGTGTGCCCCCTTTCTGTACGTACACCTTAACGATTTGCCTCTTCCTCTGCTACTTCCTTAGCGGCAACGTATATATGCGCCACGTGACAATCGCGATGGCGATAGGGTTACCAAGCAGAAGTTAAAAAAAAAAAAAAAAACGAGGTTAACTAAGTTAACTAAGTTAACCAAGTCAACTATCTCAACTAAGAGAACTTCCAATTGGGGTCCTCGCTAAGAAGAAGGAGGGGGCTTCTCTCAACGCTTCCCATGCGAAACTCGCGTGTACGAAGGAGAATCCTCTTGTCGGAGGTTACGCGAGGGAGGAAAATGGAAGGCTACCACACAAACAGAGGCCACTACACAAGGAGCCACTACACAAAGGGGTAACCACACAAGAGTAAAAATTGATTAACCATGGGGGTGATAAAATGAACGATGAGAAGTTCTTCCGAAAGGTTAAAAAGGGGTGTTTCTTCTTGTTCCTATTTTTGGCATACATATAAACAGAGTGAAAAAAAAAAAACGCATATATTTTTCACGAGTTCCTAGTGCCACTTGGTTCACTTTTTACGGCTCGGTGCGGGGAGAGCCTTCCCTTCGCCCGTAAGTTGCATGCGCTAAAGAGGGAGCGAGCCCAGGAGGGCGTGCGGGGATAAACGCGTTCCCCGGGAGAACATGCGCCGGGGTAAACACATACCTGGGTAAGCACTCACCGCGCAACCACGCGGTGAAGCGTTTACGAGCCTCCACACATAAGCATACGAGGGCTGGCCGCCACCATTTGGTCGTAGGCGAATCGAGTCGGGTAACAAAACCCGTCGCATTTTCGCATTTTTCCACTTAGCACCTTCGCACATGGCACCTTCGCATCTTAGCGTTTTTTTTTTTTCCTTCACGAGTGTGCCCTTACCCCGTGGTAGTGCCTCCCCAGATATGTACAAGGCTGTGAAAAGAAACTATTCAGCGGAGTCGTATTTCTTCTTTTTGTGGCTCATACGATGGAAGAAATGGTCGGCCCGGCCACTTCCACTAGGCGGGGCACCCCCCACATGTGCCACGCGAAGATACCGCCCCCCTCCCGGTTTACCCACTCGGAGAATACGCACCCTGGTTTATTTGTTGCATCGCGGAGGAGTCACCCCATGTGAAAAAAAAAAAAAAATAGCCAAGGGGTGAAATGGCTAAGTAGCGAAGTGCCCCAGTGGGGAGGCGAAACAGCACGGCGAGGTGGCACAGAGTGATTTTTCCCCTTCTGCCACCACGTTGTGAAGATTTTTCTCCATTCCATGTCGCCTTGGTTTCATTGGCGACCTTTCCCCTTTGCAATTTTTTTTTTTTTTTTTATCTCGTTCCATACTATGTCCGCGTAATGGTACCAGTCTCCCTCAAGTGATGCACACACACGCGACGTTATCACATCAAATTGGTGTTAATCGTGACAAACACCAACACATGGCATGGGTTTCTCCCTCATATTGGAACAAAATGATACCTTTTGTTGCCTTCTCATGGAAGCAGGACGTCCGGCAAACCGATCCCCTTTTAATCACCCCCCTTTCTGGCCAAAGTGGGAAACAGAAAAAAGTCATCTCGCCCTTGCGTGTCGAACGGGGCGCCATTGGCGGGGGGTACATTTTAACACTGAGACGATTCAGTGCCGTTTCCAGAGAAGGGGTGACAACACAGCGGACAGCTGCTAACAGAGGGAGACAGCGTCATGTGGGGAGTCTCTCCCAGTGGTGCAAATATGTATGTACACTTATTTTATTTATTTTTTTTCCGGATGGATGACGGCAACCGCACCGGGGCGGCGATTCGTCGTCGCTCAAAGAAAGGAGCTGAGTTATAAAAGGGACATGCAAGTGGGTCAAACAGGTGGGTCACACAAATGGGCCGCTTGAACGAGAAATACATTAAGACAAATAAGAAGCAAATAGGGTGGGGCCCACGTGGGGACACCCATATGTGGAGTCGTCACAAGTGTGCGTGACGTGTGGCGGCATTTAAAAAAAGAAAAAAAAAAAATGAAGAAAAATGAAAAAAAGGGAAAAGAAAATAAAAAAAAAGCACACAACCCGCATACCAGCGGCGCGCTGTCCTGTTCACCTTCTCCCTCCCGTTCACTTCCCACCTGGGCGGCTCACTGCTCCGCCTGCACTGAGGCGTACTCCTGGATGTACCTACTATTCTCTGCCAACCTCTGCCGCTCCTGCACACTGTTAATATCGAACGTGTCGCAGTTGCGCTCACAGGTGTAGACAGAGATGTAGGTGAATTTTAAGTTAGAGAGCGGGTCCTCCTCCGTTGTCATCAGATTTTTTTTTACCTCTAAATAGTTTATAATCGTGGAGAGGACTTGAAACTCAAAGACTTTTCTTCGCTTGCACACGTGACATTGTGGTGGAATAATCCCGTTGGGGCAGGACCCATCAGGGGAGAAGGACAACTTCTTTGGACTTTTTGGACTCCTCCCACTGCAGTAGGTCTCTCGCAAACTCTGGTCGTACACATTATTCTGATTGCAATTCGTCGTTTGGCTTGATGAGAGTAACACATCCCCATTGTAGGAGTAACGAATGAGCTGATTGGGGAACCTCCTTAATTTGCTGCAGTAGGAGAGGAACACACGATCGATGTTGCGCTTTGCCAACACTTCCTTTTGTATTTCCTCAAACGCGTTCATTTCGCTCCCGTCCAGCTGGCAATCCGACTGGCAATCCGGTTGCCCATCCGATTGGTCATCAGGCTGCTCATCCTCCTCGTGCCCCACCAGCTCATCCTCCCCGGAGGAGCTCCACGACCCAGTGCTCCTACTCACGCAATCGTCCTCATCATCTATGTAAATCTTTTTCTCTCTAAATATGACGTGCCTCCTTTGCAGGCACTCTTTGTGCTTCCCCCTTTTGTTCGCACAGGGTATGCCGCAGATTCTGCAGCAGAAGAGGTATTCCATCTGTTCGTCAAATTTGTTCTTATCTTTCTGTATTAACAGGGTCAGGTAATCCGTATCTTTGTTTATCCGCGTGGCGTCTCTTTGGCTGTTTCGTCTGTCTGACCCCTCGGTTGGGGTAACGCCGTTTGACCCGTCCGTTGTGGTCACCTCGCTAGCCGCCGCATCCTCTTCGGGGGAGAGCTCCCCTGTCTCGTCGCCACGCTCACCATGGTCATCATCATGATTGTAATCATATTCATCATTCGAGGCTTCCTCCCTGTCGGATTTATCATCCCCCCCCCCGGGGCGGCTACTCCCCTCCGAGCCACCCCCACCAATCAAGTTGTACTCATAAAATGGATTGTTCCTTGGCAGCTGTGTCCGGAAGCACTTCACCTGGTTCCCACAAGACAGACATATGAACACGTACAGGCATCTGTGAAAGCAGTGCTGGAATTTATCGATAGGAGCATACACTTGCAGAAGAAAAGACATGAGCTTACTACAGAGGAAGCAGTGGAACTCTTTTTGTGAGAGTAAGTTTATTCGATCTAGCCAAAATGGCCTTCCTCCAATTTTGGACACAAATTTCTTTCTCACGCTTTCCCTGTCGTGCAGTTCATTTTTACGCCCCCTCTCTTTCGTGTACCCCAGGAGGACGTGCCCCATGGCGGTGGGAAAGAAGCAACATAAGAGGCAGTAGCAAACCGGGTGACGTAGCAACAAGGTGTTACTTCTAGAGGGTAAAAAAAAAGAAAAAAAAAAAGAAAAAAAAAATACTGCGGGGAAGCATGCAACTCCTGAGCAACTACGGATGGCTTCCTCTGGGGAGGTGGGAACTCCCAGCTCAGCAGCTTCCCTGCGGCGGATCTCGACGAGGTGGGTTATACGCACCACAGTCTTCCCTGTCGTCTGCTTCACAGTCTTCCCTGTTGTCTGCTTCACAGTCTACTTTGTAGTCTGCTTCTCAGATCGGTTGTCAGTTGCGAAATGGTGCCTCCTCGGAGGTTCCTCCCAGAAAAGTTGCAATCAGCCAAAGTGATGCGAAAGGATCACGCCATCAAATTGGAGCAAAGCGCTAAACGGGGAACATAGAAAAGTGGAGAAGAAACAACTTATAGAGTAGCACCGCGGCGGAAATGAAGAGTTAAGAAGCGGCTGATGCAGATAGTACAGGTGAACGCCTCACTTTTTTTTTTTATGAGACCATCACCCAAGGCAACGACGCAGCGGCAGCTCACTCTCTGCTCATTCCCCTTTTTTCAAAGATGGGAAAAATTGCAACTTAATATTCTCCTCCGAGTGGGAAATTTTCTTTTTTTTTTTTTTTCTAATCGGGGAGCATACAAAAGAAAGCAACTGGAGGAACCGCTTCTCCTGTTGAGCGTGTCGTCCGCTCCGCCTGCCGCAAAAATGGAGGTATATAATACCCGCAAGGGCGCGGTTGCAAGTTGGAACAGACGTCGACGCAAACGCAGGGCGGCGAAGCAGTCTCAGTGGCATCATATATAGAATAGTGCAAAATGCGCGACGCCGAAAGGGCGAGCATCCAAGGGTTGCCACGGGCCTTTATGCAATGTTCTTGATCCGTGAGGGGAGAAAGAAATCGTCCTAAGGGTGAGTCAGCAGAGGGGGGAACAAAAAACAGGCAAACGAACGAACGAACGAACCAAGCAACAGTTTAATTACGTAAGGGATTACCTATACAGGCAAATGTAGGCGTATGCCCGCACGGGGCACTTCAGAGCCATCCCAAGTGACACCCGTGGGGAAAGAAAAAAATAAAAAAAAACAAAACATCGCAAAGCGGACCAATCACAACTGCGCCTCCCTCGTTTAATTTGCAAAGTTTCCCTGATCTACGCAACGCAAATGTGGTGAGCTAATTCTCACCCGCACGAGCAGTATTCCCTTTTTCGACGCGAGGACCACCAAACATGGAGGCCAAACTGAAGAAGAAGAAATATCTGAACCACCTTCAGCACAACATCTGCAGGAACCACCGGCTGTACCAACAGGACTTCTACGAGCAGTTCGATAAGTTCCTTTTCAATTACGGCGTGGTGTTGCTGAACCCTTTTAGGAAAAATGATCTATTCTGTAGCCAGTTGTCCTTCCTCAGCTACACGGTTCGCTTCTTCTGCCCCGAGGGGGGAGCGACCAGACATAGTGCAGATAACGAAGTAGAGATACACAGCTCAGACGGGGGAGCAGCGAGCCGTGGTGCAGATGACGAAGTAGAGACAAACAGCTCAGACGGAGGTGCAGCGAACCGTGGTGCAGAGGACCTCCTCAGTGATGATGACACCGCCAACGATTTGGAGGATGAGCTTCACCGAATGAACCTCGACGCGAAGAGGAAGGAAATATGGGACTCCATGAAGACCAAAGCAGACGCAGAAGGAGAAGATGCAGCCAAGAGGAGGCGAGAAGCGGAGAAAAAGAGACTCAGGGAAAATCCCCTCTTCCCATACGAGGATCTAAATGAATACATAAACCTTCTGATGGTAACAGACAAGGAAAAAATAAACTTCGCGGAGGAGCTCTTCTTTCTCATTTCGCAGCTCCTAGTGAAGCATAAGAATAGTCTATACATCTCAGTTCTCCTAAGTACATTAAAAACGTTGAGACAGATAAAGCGCAAAGTCGATGTGCTGAGCTACCTCCAGGTTTTGCTCCTCCTCTGTGATGTGAATCTGAGCAAGGTGAAGATGTTCCTCTTTAAGAGCGTCGTCGAGACAATCGTGCAGGTGCACCGGGCGCCCAGAAGGGTGGCCACCGCGATGAGAAGCAGCTCAGGAGGTCCTCTTTCTTTACAGCGGAGCGATGAACCTCTGACGGGTTCCAAACTAGCGGAGCAAATCCTCCTCCTCCTGCACGAAGCGTACGTGGAAAACAACCAGAGAAAGCGCATCCAGAAGAAGTACGCCTCCCCAGGTAGTGACCCCAACAGAAGGCACTACCTCAGCAACGTACCCATCACCGAAAGCCTCAACAACTTCGCCTGCAGTGTCCTCATCGAGCTGATAAAGAAAAACATCTACGTGACGAAAAAGAATATTAACTTCCTCTGCGAGGGAGTATTCTACAAAAATGAGAAAATCGTCAAATGTGTTTGCTTCGGCCTGTTGGGCAAATTGGACAATAAAGAATTCGTAATACGAGTGGCAAAGGAGAAAATAAACAACAACAAGCAGATCGATAAGTTAAAAAACATAAGCAACCAAACACACCAGAAGTTAAGCAAAGCAAGGATAAAGAAGCTGCATCAGAAGAAAGAAAAAATTCTGAGCAACCTGTATAAGAGCAGCAAGAAGGGGTCCACTTGGACGGAAGAAGATGTTGCAGATAGCAGAGAAGGAGGAGAACAAGACAATATTCTATCCCATAATTCCAACTATACCTTTATCGATTTGCTTTTCGATCCACATACCTTTGCTAACAACATCTTTAACTTGATATGCACGAAGTATAGGAGCAGCCACGGAACGGTTAAGTTACTGCTCCTAAATATCCTCTGCCGATTACATCACCGCAATCAGATCGTCGAAGAGAATTTATTTCTCTACTATGAGAATATCCTATCCAATTTAAAAAGCAAAACGATCTTGCCAAAGTATCTCTCAACATTTATCCAGTGTATCCATGCAGCCACCCCCTCACTGCATGTACAACGAATCGTGCATATCCTAATTAAGAGGTTCTTATTTGATAATATGTCTGAAGAATTCATTTACCTCATCATTAATGCCATCATCGAAATTGTAACCAAGTGTCCTGACTGCCTCGACGAAGAGGTCTTCGAATCGATTATTGTCTTTAAGGATTACAAAAATAAAAACACTGCGATGCTGATGAGACGGTTTGTTAATCTGTGTAAGGAGATCAACCCAGAGGTGCTAGACAAGAAGTTCCTCGATAAGAAAACGGCTCTCCTCATGCAGCGTCGCAAGATTGTTTCCTCCGCAGGGGGGGTCGCGCCAGACGCGGGATCGCTCCTCCAGTATTCCTATCTGCTCCGCGCGGCGGGGGAGGCATCGGAGCAGCAGCAGCAGGGGGAGGAAGAAGAGGAAGAAGAAGAGGATGAAGAAGAGGAAGAAGAAGAGGAAGAAGAAGAGGAGGAAGCAGAAGAAGAGATCGCGAAACAGACCGCGGAACGAAGCGAAGGTGACGATGACACTACGGACGACGGAGAAAACACTACTCCAGGGGGCGGAACAGACGAGGAGGCCCCTGAAGATAGGCTCACCGCTCACACCGCGCAGAGTGATCGACCCCACAAGCAGACCAAGAAGGACAGGCGCAGAGACGCGAAGGTGAAGAAAGAGCAGTGTATCCAACAAACCAATGAGCAAATATTGAGCCAGAAAATTTTGACGGATGAAGATTTCAGAAAACTCAAAAGAATGAGAGACTACTTTCAGAACAACAACAAGGTCTGCATGTCAGACCTGCAAGACATTTGTAACGCCGACTACAGCGAGGAAGACTCCAGCAGCAGCGCCGACGAGGGACAAGAAAAAATTATTACCCATGAGGATTTATTGCTCAAGAAGAAGATAAAAAAGAATGAACTAATGAAGGTAAAAATGAGAAAGAAAAGCCAAAGTGATAATCGATTTAAAACCAACAAAGAGAAGGAAAAAAAAAAATCCGTCATGATGTTGACGCAGAAGCTGAGGAGGAAGAAGAACAACAATGCCGTTGTTCAGTACGGGAAGATTAAGAAGAAACTCAAGGGGAAGCTAGCCGCTCGGGCCAAGAAGAGGGGAATCCTTCAGAAGCGAATTGCGAAGAAGTTGAGTAGGAGGCGCCGCTGAGGGGTCCCTCCGCCGTTACAGCATATAACAGTCGATGGGGTGTCATCACCACCTAATCAAGTTTTCTTCCAAATGAACAAACGAAAGTTAGCGCTTCTCCCTGAGTGATAATTTTTCGGCCTGATGGAGAAGGGGCAGAATTTATTTTCCCACTTTGCTGCGATGGATCCGCCACCGACCGGATGATCTGCTTTTTCCCCCCTTTCGCTGCACCCATCCTTCATTCGTCCAAACCGTTGCTGCGAGGGTGAGGGAAGCGCGGCGCAGAGGAAGCCCCGCACCGCAGGAAGGCACAAAGAAAAAAGACAAAAAAAATAAAAAATAAGATAAAAAAATTAAAAAGAAAAGAAAACGATAAAAAATAAAAAATAAGAGAAGTAAAACATAAAATAAGTAAAACATAAAAAAAGTAGAACAAAAAAAAAGTTAAGTCAAAAGAAACTTCAGTGAAAACGTGATAAAACGGGGGGGGATTTCCTCTGCAGACCAAGTGAACACCTTCCGGAGTGCCCTTCTCTAAGTGTGCCCCTCTTTGCATCGCCTCTTTTTTTTTTTCAAACCGTTTTGAACACTTCTACAAAGGAAAAGAAGTAAAATTAAAAAAATTTTGTTTTGTATGTACACGTGGAGATGTTGTCTCTGCGGCAAAAAAAAAAAAAAGAAAGTAAAAGAAAACGAAATGGCTAAGCGAAGCAGCACCAACTTGCGTGTGGGACTAGGAAGGGAAGGAAGGGAAACAGGAAAAATGGAGGGAATTGTGTGGGAGGCCTCACGACTGGGTGATGATAACGGGCGAAGGGGAAGGAGCCGGCTCTTCCTTCCCGACCGAGGTTGTCTATCCTGTGTTGCTTTTAAAAGGATTGAGACTCGGCGGGTGGTGTGCCCGGTACGCCGGCGTCTATGTCGTCGTGCTCCTTCCGATGGGCAGGGCAGAGCAGTGCAAAGGTGCATCGGTGTGGAGGTCCTCTGCAAGCCAATTGGCCAATCGCCGCTCCACAACGCTCCTCCATAACGCTCCTCCATAACGCCGCTCCCTCACAAGGCCTCTCCCCCGTCAGTCCTCGTCGGAGCAGTCCGAGTAGGTAAAATCGCCAATCTTCAAATTAACATTAAAAAGGGACGAATGTGTCTTCTTAAAGTTGTACTTAACCTCCTTGAAGTTCCTGAGGAGGAACTTCTTCTCACTGTAGTAGTTGGCTTCGATGATATTCGCGCCGAACTTGCGGCCGCTTAGCTCCTTCCTCGCTTTCGTGGCTGCCTCGATGGTTTCGAAGTAGATGAAGGCGCAGCCGATGGACGTGAGGTCGTAGTTTGGATGGGTGCGGTCCTGTTCTGGGGGGACTCCATCTGGTGGGGTTACTTCCTCTGGGGCGACACCATCGAGTGGAGTTACTTCCTTTGGAGCGACACCATCCGGTGGGGTCACTTCCTCTGAAGAGATTGCATCAAGTGATTGGCCCTCCTTGGGGGGTAGCCCTTCCGCTGCTTCAGCACCAGCTGCATCAGCCGCACCAGCCGCGCACTTCGCCTCTTCTCTAAGCAAAAAATCAAACGTTTCGTGCGAGAAAACTGGCAGCACAACCTCGACGACAGAACCAAACTTCTCGCACTCGACCTTTATGTCCTCCACGATCTCGCGGTACTCACTGGGATCGCACAGCTCATCGAACGTGGCGATTTTGCTAAGAACGATCGTCCTCGTAGGAATCTGTTGTGAAAGGATAGCATTTTCCGATGACATGTATTTTCTCTTTATGAGTCTATTAATCACAGGATCATTCACAATCTCATATTCAAACTGAATTCTGTAACTTGTGTTTTGATTTAGAATCTTCTGTGCTTGGATGGCATTTTCTGGGGTGGCATACTCCACCAGTGCTATGTACGTATCTGTGGATTCGTCTCCTTCGAAGCATTCGAAGCTTTTAATTTCACCAAAGGCTTCTAGCAGTTCTTTTATTTTACCTCTTTCATTCTTTTTGGAGATATTCGAAACGCAGAGTTTTTGTAGTTTTATCATGCTCATGGGCAGGTAGGCATTCCTCATTTTCTCTTCATTTTGAAAGAAGATAGTGAAGGCTTGCAGTCCTATGATTCCCTGTGACAAGTAGTACGTATCGATCGTAGGAATTGTCGGTGCTGGAATGAGACTCGTTAACTCCACAGGGAAGGTCTTAGGTCTTCCAATGCGTAAGTTATTGCCGTAAAAATTGATCCCGTTTAGCAACATACAGTTGGATGTATCCTGCAGGGTTCTAAATTCGACAAAGGCATAGTGTGTGTCTCCTCGGATGCATGCCTTAAGGCAGATGTTTTCACCTTCACTCTGGGTCTGGCTCTGACTCACGAGTTCCTGTTCGCTTCCCCCTCCAATTGCACTCTCCTTGTTGTAAAGTATCAGCAGGCACTTGTTTAAAAAATTCACAATTTCCTGCACCTCTATGTGCTGTGGGATGTTCCCTACGTAGAGCTCTCGAGCTGTCTTCTCCGCAGTTGGGTCCAGAGAGGATAAACACAAGTTGTTCATTGCTAGTGCACTTTTGCACAACTGTTGGATGGCCTCGTTGTCTAGATGGAGTTGCCCATTCAGGAGCATGCTCAGCTGGGGTGCGTTCAATCCTAACCCCGCTACTCCAGCGGCCAACCCGGGTATCCCAGCGGCCAACCCGGATAAGCCACCGCCTACCCCCGCTACGCCGCTGCCTATCCCCTGTAGACCACCGACTAACCCCGTCGAGCTTGTCACTGCCAGATCCTCTCCCACCACCTTATTCTTCCCATCTTGACTAGACACACTCATCATTCCCACTTTAGACGCATCGGTGAGAAGCGCTCCTCCCCCCACGCTGCTACTTAGCGTACTTAACAGATTGCTGCTCGGCGTGCAGCTCACAGTGCTCATCACATTGTTGCTGCTGCTCAACGTTTTAATTAAGTTATCAATGTTGCTGGAGTTGTAGCTTTGGTTAGCTCCCAGATCGGTCTTCACTTGGCTAGTACTTCCACCATCATTACTGATTGCACCGTTATGAGTGCTATTCGCGCTCTCGTATGGGGCTGCAGGGGACATCACCTGTCCGGCACTCTTACGGGCTTCGACACTTTTAACACCAGTGGGGAGGTTACTTTTGCTGTCTTTTTTCTTTCCCTCTTCGTCTTCTGACTCGGGTGGAGAATCAAATTTGTACATTTTGTTCCGATCCTCCTCGTGTTTTCGCCCCTCCGACGGGCTTCTTCTCCGCCTCGATGGGCTGCCTCTCCTCCTTGACCTGCTCCTCCTCCTCGATCGGCTTCTTCCCCGCGACAGACTTCTTCTCCACCGTTCACTACGCCCGATGCGCCATTCCCTCAGTCTCAGGTGCGCACTCCTGCTGCGGCTCCTGTACCTCCTCCGGCGGTGCACGTCACTATCGCCGCTACTTCCGCGGCCGTCACTAACCCGTCTTTTTCCCCTTCGCCTATCATCATAATCATCATCGTCAGTTTCCTCATCGTCGTTGTCATCGCTATGCCTCCGCCTCCTTTCAATTCGTCTTTCTCTATGTCTTTCTTTGTCTCTTTCTCTATGTCTTTCTTTATCTCTTTCTCTATGCCTCTTCTCGGGGCTCTCAGACCTGTCCCGACCCCTTCTCCACATTTCCACATTCCTATGCGATTGGTTTCTAATTCTTTCTTCACTACTTCTCGTGTCTCCCCTTGTTCGAGGCATCTCTGGGCTTTCCCTCCTTCGTCGCACCCTCCTGGGACTTCCTCCGCCTCTTCGGCTGCTACTGGAGGACCTCCTCTCTTCACTTTCCCCTGATCTCATTCTCCTTTTCTGTTTCCTCCTTCGTTCTCGATTCAACCGGGAAGAGTAGTCACTGTCGCTTCTCCGCCTGGTACTCTTCCTCACTGCACTATCATCACTTTCGTCGTCGTCATCGTCGCCGTCCTCGTCCTCCTCGCGGCTGTTCTTCACCATTCTTCTCTTGCCTCTTCTCCTCTCATTGTCGGTGCTTTCTTCTTCTTCCTCTTCCTCTTTTTCTTTTTCTTTTCTTCTTCTCCTCCGACGGATCATGTCATCTCTTTCCTTCTCCACGATTCGTCGCCTCCTCTCAAGTAGCTTCCTCCTCCTCCTGGCCCTTTCATCGTCCGAGGAGCTCCCTTCCTCCTTGCTGTGGCTTTCGCTTGAGCTTCGATACTTCTTCTTGTCGGGCGCGCCCATCTTTCGGTTCCGGCCTGCGTCTCTGGGTAAGTAAGAAGCCTCGCCGTTTTGATGATCACTTAGCGTCGATGGTCACTTAGCTTCTCCGCTTCGTCGATCACTTAGCCTCTCCTGCTTCGTCGCTTCTCCTCTTTTGGTGCCCGCCCCTTCCCCTCCTCGCGATGATCATTCATTAATCGAGCGCAAAAGGTCAGAAACCGGCGTAGGAAGGGAGAGACGAAGCATCCACATGGGCATACGTACGCACCTTACTCGCTTAAGTGAGTTATATGCCCACGTACAAACTCGTGAATCAGTGGGCCCCTTGTTTTTTCTTTTCCCCTCTTCACTGATTCCGCGAAAACTCTGCAGAGCCGTGACTTTTTTCACGTTTTTGCGCTGAGCGAAAAGAACGCTCTCTCGGTGGGTTCCTTCTACGTATAAGCTACGGATGATGCAGTGGTATGCGCGTACGTATGGTAGTCTTTATGACCCCTATGTATGTAGGCATGTATGTGTTTCTTTTTTTTTTTCTTTTTCCCCCTTTGAGCCGAATAAATGGTGTCAACTGAGGAAATTTCTTCGCCACACATGCTCCACCGTCGTAGAAAATAATTTTTTTAATTCCTCGTAGGGTTGGAGGATGCTCCTTCTCAAGTGCGTTGATCCATTCGAACGTTTCCTTGTTAGCCCATTTTTCCTTTTTCTTTTTTTTTTTTTTTTTCTGGTGCCCCCAGCATGGGCTAACCGACACGCACGAAAATCAGATTTTATAATCCCCAAGGGGAAAGTGACTCCTTCCGCTAAGTCGAGCAAACGAGAGGAGGTAAGTAAGAAGGGAGCTACTTTTTCTGCGTCTTAGTGGCATGCACTACATCGTTACTACGTTGCGTTGTGTCATTTTTCGCTACGCTTGGTTACTCCTTTTTATGTGTTGGTTCCCTTTCCCCAATTCGCTCCAAACTGGAAAGTATAAATTCCCTCATTTGTCCTTTCCCCCATACGCGCATTAATTATGATAAGGTACTCTTCTTTGTTTTGTTTTTTCTCATCAGGGAGGAGAGAACGGGCCTGCTACTTACAAGGAGTTATTCTCCAGTTAACCTATTTTTACATTTTTTTTTTACCCGACCTGTTCAGGCGATTTTTGCACTATCCGGTTTTTTTTTTCTTTTGCAAATTGGCTAGTTGACGTGGAAAGTTCGTTCATTGGACAGAGTTAAATAACGGACGGTGGATTGGCGTGTTTGGTCAGTTTGGCCTATTCTTTCCCCCCGTTTACCAAAAAAAAAAGAAGAACGTGGGGATGGCTGACAGCACCCCTGTTGGGGGAACACATTGTGCCATCAGCAGCTGTAGCAACAGCGACAACTGCCGCGATAGAAGGGGCCATCTTTGCTGCGATTTTTTTTTTTTGTGTATGTCAAGAAGAGAACCTAACTAAGGGACAATGCAGATGAAAACAACCATGTGGGTGGCAACCCGTAGGTTGCAGTCAAATGGTCTTCTAGAACCCACTGCTGCCCATGACCCTACTGGTCTGTCACCGGAATGCCAAAGTACTTACAGAGGTAGCGACATATGGCGTCCTCAATCCGTTCCGACTCATTCGAGGTGGTAAGTTTGAAGAAATGGTCTTTCCCTGTGAAGATAAAAGCAGAGGTATAACGTTGATCCAATAAGTTGGCAACTAATATATCTGCGAAACAGATTCTCTCGTTCGATTTGCTGAGTAGTGTCTGCTCATTGTCTTCCAGTTTGAACGTGCACAAGTTAAGTAGGGGAAAGTACTTCCTCGTAAGTTTGTACAGTTTGGGGACTAGCTGCATTCGAAAGGAGAGAGTTGCATTCGTCTCACTGTCTATTTTGTGGTTACTTAATTCTGCAAAGGGGATGTAGAAATCGCTCACTGCTGCGCATAAAATGACGAGGTGTGGCACGAGGGAAACCCCATTCGTGTTGACATCCATAGTTGTAAGCCCGACCTCCTGCCTGCCCCTCCAGTCCTGATTGAGCAAATCACAAATGGCAGTCAAGTAAAATCCATAGTCAAAAATAGATTCAAAAGAAATACAAAGAAGATTTTGTCTGAATTGTTCATACGATTTTGCATCGTTTATCACAGCTTTGTTATCCTGTTCTGATAAGCTCAGCGTCACATGTCCGTCGACAACACGAACACTGTCCATGCGAGTAGCACATTTTAAGTGGCACTCGAATGGCATGAAGGTACCCTTTCGATGAAGAAAAATTACTCTTTTGTTTTTCTTTAGAAAGTACTCACACATATGTGCTCCCCTTTTTCCGGTGGAGAAATTTTCCACGTGTCTGATGGGCACCCTTTCCAGTGGAACTTTGGTTCCCCCCGAGGTTATCAAAATGATTTGACTTGCTTCCCCCTGAAGCAGTTCATTTTGTATCTTCTTTAAAACGTCGTTTAAATCGTTTGGCCTTAACTCGATGGCGAAGAATTCCGGGTGCTCCGCGAGGCACTCCATCCTCGGCGGCGCGGTGGTGGCGCTTTGGCGGCTGTTCAGACTGCTTCGAAGTTCGTCGGACTACTCCTTCCCTTCCCTTTTTCTGTTCGCTTTTTCTGTTTTTCCCTGCTGTCGAGTAGGGTAACTACCAAGACAAATCAGCCCATTTTTCTTCGATCCCCTGCGCGTGAATGTATCGGATGCATGGAATGGTTGGAGGTTTCGTGAGGGCTCCCTCCTGGCGACCATTTTACGTGGCAGCGTTGGGGGGGTCTTCTCCTAAGGTAGCGACGACTCACGTAAGGGCATATTCTTATATATACATGGCAGTGCGCACCCTGGCGACCATGACGCAGAAAAAAAAAAAAAAGAATGGAGAGCCCATTCCCTTTTTAACTTTTCCCCCAATGGATTCAACCGCTGCAGTATGAATCCCTCAAAAGGGCATCTCCTCGGCTGGGGTGCGCTCGATGAGGAACAGTGGCGACTTCACCGGAGCTGTTAATTCGAGTGAGCGGGCCCCCCTTCCTTATCTTCCCACCACAGATCACGCGTGTAGAAATGCATACATAGGAAGCATATATAGTAAGAACGTTTGGGGTTGCGCTGCCTTGGTTCGCTTTTCTTCTCTCTGCACTTCTTTTCCTTTTTTTTTTTTTTCTATTCCTGCCCTGTCCCCCCCCCAAAATGGGCGACCGAATTGACAGCCGGCACTTCGACTACGTGCTGCCTGTCCACGTCGACGTGGACCAAATAAATGAAGCAAACAAGACGTGCATATACGTCAGCGGGAATGTTAACCCGCACATGTATAGCAAAAACACCAGTGGAAGACTGATCAAGCTGTTAGGGGGGGCCTACAATTACCACTCAGAAGGAGGAGCGGAAGCAAAAGCACAAGCGGAAGCACAAGTGAAAGCAAAAGCAGAAGATCCAGCTAAGGAGGAGCGGCGGCCAGATGGCACGCTCAACGGTGGAGTCACCACCTCGGAACAGATCCTAGCAGATAGAACTCTCCTGGGGAATGGCACAAACAGTGTTGTAGCCACGACGCTCATCGGCCCAACGCCAAACACACAAATGTTCAGTAGGGGAATCGAATCACCTCAGTTCAACATACGGATAAAAAACACACAAGGGTTTCGAGACGATCGAGAAAAGACCTTGGAGGAAATAATCGTAAAGAACTTCGAACAGATAATTGACCAAGGTATGTACAAATTTCAGCAGTTTCATGTCCGAGTCCAGATCTTACGTGAATGCACTTACGTTCTGGCAAGCATTATCAATTCGATCATTCTTAACTTTATTCACAACAACATAAGCTTGAACTTCGTGGTGAATTCGGTGAACATTGGGATAGTCGATCGGAGCAAGTATGGGACTTATGTGGCGAAGCTGTCTCGTGTACGTGTCGGCATCGTAGCGGAAGGCCCTGGGGATATCGCCAATCGGGGGGTGACCACCAATCCGGAGGTTTCCGCCGCCCCTGCTGTGATTGCCCCCCCACACGCGGACAAGCTCTTTTACTCAGACCAACAGAGGTACATCCCCAAGATTATCTTGGACCCTCTGGACGAGGAACTCAACCTGTACTGCAGCAGCGCCTTCTGCTTCATCGTCGCACCGGAATTTCAGAAGGTTATCTCAAACATAGTGATAAAGAACTCTGTCGGGATGTCGTCTGAAGTGTTTAGCCTATCCAAGTGGTACGCTTGCGAGGTGTCTCGACTTCTGCACAGCGGCATCAGACGCAGTTACGCTTCGCACTTGAGGCGGGTGGAAACGTGCCTCGCGAGCAACTACCTTTAGAGGCAAGGCGCGCATCACGTTGAGGCGGAAACCACCTGAGGTATGTCACCCGGTCACCGTTACATCGTTCCAGGGCTTAGCCTTCTCTCATCCTTTTTCTTCTTCTTTGTCATCTTCTCCTTCTAAATATTATTCTTACCGTATCAATTTAATGCATAGTGCATCACGGAATTGGAAGAACTCCTTAGGAAGTACCTTCTTCTCTGAGGTGGACAGAAAGCGCGGTAGTGTTTAGTAATTTAAAGATTCATTTGTCTTTGGAATTTCCGTGTTAAGGAAGCTACCACCATTGTGTACTTCCCTATTGAGTACTTAATTTTCCTGATCCCCCCTTAATCATAATTGTGTTCCGCAGCGGTTGTACATATATCTATAGATGTATATCTGTGACTATTCTACATTATTTCCGTGGTATATCCCTATTTATTGATGCGAGGAGGGGACCTTTGCCACGGTTCAATTTTTATTCCTTCCTTCCTCCTGCTTATAGCTATTAATTGGCATACCGTCAATTCTTTTTTGTGAATTATAGGTGTCATAGGAGAATATAAAATCGTATGAGCATACAGAAGTTTGAAATTCTAGTTTGGAGTATGCAATGTATCTATCTCATTCTTTAACATGATTGACTCCTACAGGCAGTGGTCACTTTGTAGAAGTGGCGCTTACATTCAGACAACATCGGTTTCGACTTCTTCATATGAGAGATAGATACAGTACCATATATTTTTGTTCTTCACAGTGCGGATAAATTTACAATTTAGTTCTGCTATAATTTTTACTATACTATGTTATATTATTAATTCTTCTAAAAAGTACGTATTTACAAATAGTCCTCATTTAATTGCTAGTATTGGAATTGGCTCTGAAAAGAATATGCGCAAATTTCTTCTTCTCTGTTTAGTTCCTTTGTCAGCTTTTGCATAAATTGAAATGCCGGTCAAGTGACATACACGTTTTAGATAATATAGAATATACTCATTCTGTAAGATGGGGAGATGGCAGAAGTAGAATGAAACAATGAATCTGTCCATTATTGCCAAGGCGTGATTTTCTTAAGACTGAACATGTTAATCCATAGTAAACATTTTCGGGACCATAAGGACATGCCATACCAATGGAGACGGCGGATGCATCAACCTCTTTAGAGCCGTTACTTTCCATATTTGAGTGAGGCCTCGGAATTATTCCGGAGAAGTATTCAGATAAGACATAAATTCAATAAGCCATACATTAACCTACTCTAAAGTCCTGATGATGTTATATCGTTATTCCTTTATGGAAATCTTATTCATAGTTAAATGATGGTATCATTCTAACTATTTAGATGTATATCCTCAATGTAAATCCTAAATCATAAGCACTAACCCCTGAATGAAAACCCTTAAAACGTAAACGACAAATCCTGAACACTATATCGTAGCCGCTGAGGACCACACGCTAAACCCTAAACCCTAAACCTGAACCCTGAACCATAACCCCTGAAAGCTAAATCCTAAACCCTGAGCCCTGAACCCTCAAACGGAAACCCAACACCCACAAGCTGAAGTTATAAATCTGAACCCTAAGGCCAGAAACCTAAAAGTCAACCCTAAACGCTGAGAATTAAAACGTAAGGCCTAAACCCTGAACTCTAAAGCTGAGCCCTAAACCATAAACCCTAAACCATAAACCATAAACCCTAAAGCCTAAACCCTAAACCCTAAACCCTAAACCCTGAACCCTGAACCCTAAACCTAAACCCTGAACCCTAAACACTGAACCCTGAACCATCAACACTAAACTTCGAAGCAGCGACGTAACACGTGAAAACAAAACCCTAAACCTAAAACCGCTACACACATCGACACCCATAAACCCTGAACCGTACACCGTGGCAACCAAACCCGAAGCCCAAAACCCTAAATCCTAAACAGCAAAACCTAAAACCTTCCCGTGAGCCAGGACCTCCTAAACCTGAATCACAGCCGCAAAGCCCTAAAACAAGAACCCGCTACATGAACCTCTAAATCTAAAACCCAAACTCCTAACCCTCAATCATACACCATAAAACCAAAACCCTAACCGCTAGATCTAGAACCACAATCCTTAAACCCTAAACCCAAAAACTAAACCCTAAACCAAACCCAAACCCCACAGCCCCGCACATCTAACCCATACCACATAAAACTAAATCCCAACGCTGAATCGTGTAACAACCAGGTCTGAACCTATACACCTAAACACCCTGGCTCAAGCAGCTACCCGATCCAGTCGGCATAAATCCGACCTGTGAAGTTTGAACAGGAACCCCTAATCCCCAAGCACCCCCAACATCAATAGAAAAAATGAACTCCAAAAACATAAGATCCACAAAGTAGACTAAAACTTCAAGACTCAACCCTAGATCCGAACCAACGCCACCTGGAGTCCTACTAGGAACTGTACGGTGCCTGTTAACTCGTACCTTCTGAGTACGCGCTGTTATCCTCCTCCTTCCAAAACCAACGGTAAACCCCCCCAGGTCCTAATCAGCCAAGTCTATGCTGCAGCTTCTTGTGTCGTTCCATGATCCCTCGGTGCTTCCTGTGAGGCTGGGTGGTAGAGTCGGTTTCTGTCCTATCTGCCTGACTTGACCATAGGAAATAAGTGGCTAGTTGGGTGTGTTGTTGTCCTTTGGCCTTGCTTCGAGAGACGAAATTCAGTTCCTCCTTTTTAAGTACTCTTTGCCCTAAGCCGTTGCTACAGGCACATGGGGTTAACACTGCTAACGGTCCTTTGGTGTGTGTTGGATGGGTAGTTCCTCTCCTGGAGGTCGGTGTTGGTTATGCTCCCCGTCTCTTTGGGGGATGGGTGTTTCGTTGACGGGGTAATCCCTCCTTGTATTGCTTCGTAGCTTGTTTTTAATCCCTTTTTATCATTACTTATCCTAAACTGTTGTTTTTTCGTTGGGAGGTTAGTTCATCAGACCTCCTTTCCCATCCTCCCTTTTATTTCGTCTTTATTTGCGAGGCCCCGGTCAGTAAAATTCCGGTTCATGCGGGTTTTGGATGGGCTTTCACTTGATTCATCTGAATCGGAGTTCTCCTGCTGTCCCTACTGTGGATTCCTGTGACTTCTGGTGTTGCTATGTACTTCTCAGGACATAATCCCCCCTTCATCCATACTCGAGAGGTCGCGGGAGGAAGATTTCCCTTTCCCTCCGGCCGTGAGCTTTAGAGCCCTCCCATGGTTGGAATTGATCTATTCGTGTCCCCTTCTCAGTAGTCGGTTTCTTCCTCAGGAGTCAACTCCTCCATAGCCTATTCTGTAGCTCCGTCCCCCTTCGCTCTGACCCTTCAGCAGGGTCCCCCGGCTGAAGATTCTGCTTATTCCATACGTAGCCACGGCGCCCAGTAATACTGCGGTTACCCCTCCTAAGATGACCCCCCAAGAATCCGTGTGGGAGTTATTCAGTTGTTCTACTGTTGATCTTCTGGACGAGCTTTTTCCTGACCCAAGAACTTCTTGGTCCTCGGTAAATGGGATAGTTCCCGAGGACTTGGTGACCCCAATGGACCCGGTCTCGGTGTTCTGGTTATTATCCTTGGGTCCACTTCCGTGTTGGTTGCTCGGCGTCCGCACACTCTTCATTGCCACTTCCTCCTTCCTTTCCTGATTTCGCCCAGTGCCATCTCCGGATTCACCTTTCGAGCTTGGTTGAGAGTTAGACTTTGATTGTCCCTGGAGTAATTCAGGCATTGTGTGATTCTCAGTTCCCCCTTTGAGGTTTTGCTGTACGTCTTGAGTTGGTTGGCCATTGTCTCCTTCCTGGGTAAAGAGGCTCCTCTCTGTGGCTTGTCCGTTTAGGTCCGAGTTCTCTTCTTTTGGAGATCCTGATATAAGGTCTCCGTATGCCCTCCTCCTCATCCATAACATCGTCTTCCTGCTTCCCCCTGGGTTGGAAGTTTGGCAGTGGATTGTGTTTGATGTCACATCACAATATTCGGTTTCTCTCATTGAACTGGTTGTCCTTGAGGTGTCCTCCAGGATATATCCCCTATACGGCCCACATTGGGGACATACCTGCTTTATTGTTCTTATAATTGCCAAAAAAAGTGAAAACCAGGTACCCGTTACTTTATCGCCCACTTCCTTGCCCTCACAGCAACTAATTGAAAGGAATTGACTCCTGTTGCGGGCTTGGTTTTTCCACTGAGTCCACTGCCTTTCGGTAGGGAAGATTTTCGGGATTAGATCTGCACATATGCCGTTGGAGCCCTTAAGTAGGAGTTCTCTGATCTCTAGGTCTGCTAAACTTAGAAGTACTAAACATGCGAATACCCCCAGAAACGTGGCCTGAAACTCGGGTTCGGTATCGCTTGTGTCCTGGGTTTCCTTCTGACACAGTAACCTCATGATGTTATCTAGTCGGCAACCGCAAGAGGCGTCGTGAGGGGATGAGACTTCTCCCAGTATCCTCATATGCACTTGGTCCAGAAGATGTGCAAATATTCCTGGGTCGACACTGTTGTAATCCGTCTGGTCCATTTCCTCTGCTTCCTTGTAGACTCGTTTCATCAGACCACTACCTAGAGTCTCCATTCCTTCGATATTTTCTACTGACCTTCTCACCTGGTTTCCAGTTTCTTCACTTGTGCCTCGTCCCCTTGGTGGCGACGTGTTGCAAATATTTTGCAGGACAGAGCCAATTGGCTGCCCCCTTCCGGTAGGTTCTATCCTGCTTTCTATCTTCCTGTAGAGGCCTACCGGCATACAGATGCCACCACAGCTTGTGTTAAGCATTTGGGGCTTTGGCATCCTGGTCAGACGTTCCTTCTCCTTGTTCCTCAGCTCCTTCTCATACCATCTCTTCTCTAATCCCCCCCCGGGATTGGAGATTTTTGCTGATCGGTTGGCCTTGATTTCTGGTTCCAGAAATGACGTATAGTGAAATTCTGGGGCTTGTTTCCACTCTCCACTTAAGGTCTCTCACTGTTTAGGCTCCTTTTGATTGTATAGTTGCAGTTGTATATACCCCCCTTCTGCTCTTCACGTTCTCCTTCATGTCCCATAGCCCCGGTTGCTCCTTGGTGTGATGTTCGTTAGAACATACTCCATCCCTTGGGCACGATATCTATTGCCCTCCCCAAGTGCCTCTGCTGTACATCCTCCCTTGCTTCCTGATGGTGTTTCTTGCTCGGGCCCTTTCAGGCTGGACCCTCTTGGAGATTGGACCCCGTTCGTTTATCTCTCGATTTCCGGCTCCTACTCCTCTGGTTCCTTCTCCCCCTTGTCCCCTAGGAGTCTCTATGCCTTCTCCTTCCCATCCTTTCCCTCGTATGTTCTGTTGAGTATCCCCCTATCCGGCCCTTTAGTCTGGGGGAGTGTGGGCGACCCCGCGTCCTGTGCTGTTGGTTAGTCTCTTTCGGGTGGTCCTCTCGTGGCTGTCCTGGCTGAATGTCCGTCTCGTACTTGGACGTGCCCCTTCGGGGGGATCTGGTCCATTTTTCTGACTCCATCTGGCCCTCATCCTTTGCTGCTGAGGTCCGGGGTTGTACTTGGTCTCTAGTGGGGGTCCCTTCCCTGTTTTGATCTTCCGTTACGGATTTGGCGTGTTTTCGTTATTTATTGGTAGGTAGGCAGGCGTCGGATTTGGGGTGGACTCTTGTTTCTCCAGTTGCATTGCTCGCATCGGTAGCTTCTCTTTTCGTGGCCCTGTCCGACGCCCTCTTAGAGGATCCTATGATTTCTACCCCCCGGGTTGGTGAATCTTGCCTCCCGCTCTGTTTCCTTATATTCATCCTTCTGAGTTTTCCTGACGTGCCCGACTTCTGTTTCGTCCTCTTACCTTATGTTCCGCCCATTTCTATCAGACATCAGTCGTCGTCCTCATCGGTCACTTGGTGTCTTGTATTTTCCTTA